GGAGAAGTTACATGCTAATCACTTCTGGAAGTTGTTGTCAAGTTTACTTGACACTATATCTCTGGTTGTGCATCCACCTGTGCATCTAGAAATTGACATTGTGGAGATTTCTTGATGTGGATTCATCCAAGATCATGTTTGTATTGTCCCTAGTATGAAATACAACACATGATCAGTAATAGTTATTTTTTATTTAATATACATTGTTTTTAATTCAAACAGGTTGTCGTATGGAAGAACATGGTCCCATCCTTAAGGATTTGTTCCATACAGATTATTTCAAAATCAATGTTGTGTCAGATGCAGACACGGTTGAACTCTGTGGCTCACTTAAGGTTTGTTCAAATTAGGATACTTCTTTTAATAAACTAATTTTAAAACTGCAACAGAACTCCACTAGCTTGAACTATCAAGTTGATGCATAACCTAGAGCCTGGAAAATAAAAAGAATGGTTTGCACTCAAAAAATGTGTACGAACCTTGTTAAAAAATAGTTTATTTTATCTAGAAATTTCAAGTTAGCTGATGGTGAATGGCATAAATTTTACTTCAAATTGTGAAGTTTGGATTAAGTTTGTTGAAGTCAGGGATATATAATTATTGAGTATTTATGTTTATCATCTTTTGTAATTTCATTCAATTCATTTATAAAGTTGTGTGTAGTTAATGAGGAATGGTGTAACAGAGATTGACAGAAATCTTCTCTTCTTAGAATGCTGTGGCAGTTGGAGCCGGAGTTGTGGATGCCTTAGGGTAAGAAATGTTCTTTGGCTGATTTCCTTGAGAGAGAAATAAATATTTAACAGAGTTTCTGAAACAAAGGTTAAGGAAGATAAAACATAGGGTCAGGGTCAGAAAATTTTTTCTCTGGATGTTTTTCCTTTTGTTTAATGACAATGTAATCCTGTCATTTTTTCAGTTATGGTGACAACTCCAAGGCAGCAGTCATTCGCATTGGACTCAAAGAAATGATTCAGTTTGCTCGAAGATTCTATGATGATGTCAAACTGGAGACTTTCTTCGAATCATGTGGAGTGGCTGATTTAATAACTACTTGTTATGGTGGAAGAAACAGGATAGCCGGAGAAGAGTTTGTCAAGGGCAAGGTTTGTAACTACATGCACCATCTCCCAAAAGATTGCAATTTCAATTCTGTGTTCATCTTCTCTATCCATCAACATCCTTGTTCCTCATGTTTGTTTTCCTATATCTGGGGCTGTCTCCATCCCTGTAAAGCATTATTTTAAGGTTTCATTCTCTTTTAACCCTTTAACTCCTGTGAGTGACCAAGATAGAATTTATCCTTATTGTATCTGTACAATATCATGCAGACAAGTGATGAGAATAAAGAAAAATAATTATGGGATTACTAATTGATCTGATACCAAATTCTCCAAACTAACATGATGAGAATCATTTGGTAGACAGTAAGGAGAATTACCAAACAGATCTTAGGAGTTAAATGGTTAAGAGCCAAAATGTGGCATTGCAGCTATTTAACACAAAAAAGCTGAATACTTAGTAACCCTTAAACTCTTAAGAATGACTGGCATTTAATTTTCTCCTCACAACATCACCCCTGAATCAAACATGGTCACAAAAATTTTAAAAAGTGATCACCAAATGAAGAAGCTCTTTGTTGTTAAACAAATTCTTCTTATCTCTCGAGAACAGTATAGAGAATATGCATACTGATGTTTAGGTGTAAATGGTAAAGCTTCTTCTGAAATGTAAATACGCTAACTTCTTCAGCAAAATTCAAAAAGGCTCAACACATATAATTTAGATCAACCCAAGGGTTAATTTTGAGTACATTTAGTCTGCATGGGAAGTTTTTGAGTGCGACTTTGAGTTAAACCTCAAAATCTTCATGAGGAAAACATATTGCATGAATTATGCAGATATTTATTTTTGTACCTTGCAGTTTCCTTGGTTCACTAAGTGTAAGTTTGTCTCATTAACCCTTTACATCCTGACATCAGTATGCATATTCTCCATACATTATCTAAGCTGCTGACAAGGAGAATTTCTTTAACACTTATGAGCATCTTCAGTTGGTGATCATTTCCTTTATTCTCATGACCTTACTGTGTAATTCAGGGATGAAATTGTAAAGAGAAATTTGATGCAAATTACTCTTAAGAGGTTTAATGGTTAAATTTTAGATCTGAGTTAATTGCCATGTTTTATTATTTGGATGGACCCAGATAGGAGTGTAAGTTGGGTGCATGAAAAGTTTGACATTTGAATTAAGTCTTATCTACGAGTCAAATGATTTTGAAAATTAGTGCTTAGATACTAACCCATATTTTTTCTGTATTTGATAAGACATTTGAAGAAGTTGAACAGTACATACTTGGAGGGCAGAAGCTTCAGGGGCCCCACACAGTTTATGAAGTGTATCATCTTCTCAAGGACAATGATTTGCTTTCTGAGTAAGTGTCTGCTTGATATTGCTCACAAACCAGTACCAGTATATAGATTATGAATTTGAGTTGAAGAACTTTTTTTTGCAATAATTGTAATGTGAATTACCAATGCAAATCTCACCAAACAGGAAAGGAGTAAATAATTCCAAATATATTCTTTGTCATCTTTGCATGCTTTAGGCTATGTTTGTTTGTTTGTTTGTTTGTTTATCTTTTGTAGACTTTGTGATATCCATTGATGATATCTTAACAGCTAGAAGTGTTGGCAGGTGACTGTAACATACAAACTGTGCTCCAATTACCTCATCTGATTTTGGATTTTTTCTCTTTTTCAGGTATCCTCTGTTTACTGCCATCTACAATGTGTGTTTTGAGAAGCATCCTCCTTCAGAGATGATAGAAGTCCTCAAAAGACATTTGTAGAACTGAGTCCTATGGTTGTAATCATGGTGTCAACATTGTCTTATATTTATTCAAATTTACAATGATTTATAATATTTTTTTTGTATAATGAGTCCACATGGCAACATGACGTAACTTTACCTGAAATATAAAGTTTAATACTCTAGACTATGAGCAGTCCTTCCTTTTCTGCAAAGTCTGTGGCGTTAGTAAAAAAAAAATAGTAAAAAAACTGATGTAAGTGTGTTGCATGGAACTCTTTGTGCCTCACTTCCAGTGTTCCACACTGCTGTGTGCTAGCATCAATCTTTTTCTTTGCCGATTATTTTGGACGTCTGACAGAATTTGTTAAAAGGAGCAACTGCTGGTAGTCTAATGTTACTCAGAAATTTACAGTTTTGATGAAAATTTATAGCCCAATTCCAAGTTCAAAATCCTTCCATTTAAAAATTAGGCCAGGTGCCTGTGAAAATGAGTTTTATTCATGTGAGAATGCCTTTACACTCATCTTGAAACAGAGGCCTTAGACATCTAGGAAGTAGCCTCATATTCTTCTCAAAGGAACCTTCAGCAACTAAAATTAACACATGCTTTAGTTGATCCTCTGCCCTGGCGGCAACTCCATTGAACATTGAATTATTGAAGCAGTTAAACTAAAACAGAAATTTACAAGCACAAAACTTCAGCTAGAGAAAAAAGAGTGCACTCAATGAATAATACTTGCATTTGTTGCTGGGTTGCTTTAGCTGCACTGAATGAGACTTGAACTCTATTATTAATTACTACTCATACCAATAGAACTAACTGAGAAAACTACCGCAAACAATAAATTTTAGCTTTATTAATGTTGATAATAATTCTAATTATGGGATTTAGCGATGGACATTCCAGGTGGTGTCTCTTTTTGTCTACTGTTCTCAGGTTGATTTGGAATTTAGAACTAACTACTTATCCAAATAAGTTACTCTAGATTTTTGCAATAATGCATCCCACAGAAGCCATGAAAAATTAAAACATTTTCAAACAAAACAATGTTAAAAAGTGTTAATGAACTGGTGTTTGGATCTTACGGACAAATGACTTAATTGTTTAAGGCTTTTATATTTGTAGATTTTCTCTTAGGTAATGTTTATTGACATTTTCATCATCATCATCATCATTGCTCCTGTTTTCAAACTTTTTCTAGAAGATATCAATGTGGACATGGTTGTCACAAGGAGAAGGGAAGAGTCATTTAAAATCTTTTTTCTGTATTTTTTTGGTCCAGTAACAACACTCATCTCTTAGTTAAAGTTGTCCAGGTAGAATTTGCCAAAATACCCTAGAAGTCAAGAAAATTGGGCATTCGAAAATGTCGTGTAAAATTAGCATAATGCCGTGGAGTCATTAGATAGATGTAATTATTGTTGTAATTTTTTTTTTTGTCAATATATGGGAATTAAATTATATTTTCTTTTCACCTTTTTGTTTGATTTGATTTAATGAAGGGACTGCCTCAGGCTTCCTTGTTTTCTTCATCAACTGAAAAAACCTTTATTTGGCTTATGGTCAGTTTTCAAGATTTTTATAAACACCTGTGGTATTATTTGACAGGACTTACTATTATAGTAACTATATTGCTGAAAATCATGAGGACCATGATATGTCCTTGTCCAATGTTACAAACTTGCGAAGCAGTGAAATCTCATCAAATTAGCATGAGATGACAAATAATTGGCTTTGAAATAAACAACATCATTTTAAAAAAAATTATGAAACGTCGTGATCAAAAAGCAGGTACATGGAAGCAGGTTTTACCAAAGGTAAATATTTTGCGAAATGGGAAACCACACTTCTTCCATCTCACATCTTCAAGTATAAAACATAACACTGATAAGATCCTAAAAGGAAAATTTATTGGGTAATTTATCAACTTTTTACCCTTTTCAATTTCGCTTTTTGCATTTTTGTTTGACGATGTCGTTACATCTAGGTGTTAGTAAGGAAGAGCGTGAGCGTGATGGGAGCAACCGTGCGTGACTACGTGACTATTGCATGAAAATTGTTTAGTTGTGACTTCTTTTTTTCTGAACAGCGGCTGAGAATGAAATTTATGCTTCATTACCTTTGCGCACAAGATGGCGGATAAACTTTCGTTTGACACCGTGCCGTCTTTTCTCTGTTTGTTTGTTGTTTTGAACAGGACTCAGCTCTTAAAAGGGCCTGAAAAATCTCTGTAGAATTACCAATATCATTAAAAATTGTCTTTAACCGTTGAGGGCTGAGAAAAATTAAAAATGGCAGACGACGTGGAGTTCGAAGATTTTGAGATCACAGACTACGATTTGATGGAAGGAATGGGTCTGGGCTTTAGAAGACGCAAAATGACCAAAGAAGACGCCATCTACGGCATTTGGGCGGACAAAGATTCGGATGACGATGACAGACCAAGTTTCTCTGGGAAAAGGAAGAAGGATTATACAAAACCTCTGAATTTTGTCAGTGGGGGAGTTGTACAGAAAGGAAAGGACAAAAAAACAGATGATGACGGTGGGTTTCTTTCTTTTGTTACGGTATAATTTAACATTCCGGAAGAACTCATAACACAACTATTTCAGTAGTAATACATCATACCTGCATGAGTTTTTAAGTTTCATGTAATGATTACTTTAATTTCATGAAATAATTTTATTATTATTCTGCAGATGCTGCCAGTGTTGGTAGCAGTGCTAGTGAGAAGGGTCCAGGGTCTGGGAGAAATTCTCCTGTTGTCAGAGATAAGAAGCTGTTTAAGGGAACTGGAGTCAAAAAAGAAACTGGCCCTCTAGGTAAACTGTGATTCTTAAAATACGAAATTGTACATCCATCATCAGTGTCAGCTGTATCAATGTTCCAATAACTCCTTACAGTGGCCAATTTACGTTATGAACTCAGTTGATAATACCAAATTACCCTGTATCAATGTTCAATTGTAACCTTTGTTTCTTCTTGTTTTCCAGGGCCTCAGATGTTTGCTAAGAAGCTCCTGAAGACTTCTGGAAAGTAAGAATTGATTTATTTTAATAAGCAATTATTTGCACCCAGAGAAACTGGAACAAAATCAATTTTCCCTCTTCCTTTAACTCCCCTCCTGTTTTTTGTGCATGCCTCTCCCTCCCTCTGTAGTTCAAGTAAGGAGAAACCCCCCCTTCCCCTGATTAGAAGTTAGGTATGGAATAGGGTTAATGAAAAATGTTGAATGAGACTTGCTTCAGAGCTAAGAAATTTTTATTTAACACTTTACACCCTAATATCATTATGGATATTCTCCATACTGTTCATCATACATTTCTTCAGTTGCTGACAAGGAGAATTTGTTTATAACAATCAAGAGCTTCTTCAGTTGATGATCATTTCCTTTATTCTTGTGACCTTCATGTGTGATTCAGGGGAGATATTGCAAGGAGAAACTAGATTTTGGTCACTCGGAGAAGTGAAAGGGTTAATCTTAATGTTATGGAATTTTCTCAAGACTTGAGGGTTTTGCCCCAGTCGTTCAAACAATAGATAAATTGCCATCCAGAGGATAAGCATCAACAAAATGTATTGTGCTATTCAGCGGAAAGAGATTTATCCACTGAATGGTGTTATCCACCCTCTGAACTACTTGGGCCTTGGCATTTTAGCAAGTCTCAGGTTTTGCCTTCTGTGGGCCTTAGCAGGGAAAATGGGCCAGATTGCCTTGAAGAAATATAATATAAGGTGACTCTGACAGTATACTTTTTCCTTCATTGTTGCATAACTTTCTTTTATTATCACTAGGGAATTTGGATCATTTGAAAAGTATACAAAAGGGTTTGGCATGAAAATGCTTCAGCAGGTGAGAATTAGTAAGCTACTTACTACATTGTTGTATCTCAATGGTAAGAAGATAGGAGACACTCAATCAAAAAATTTATCCAGTAGAATGAATTGCGAACATTTTGTTGTAGATGGGTTATGAGCCAGGAAAAGGTCTGGGAAAGGATGGACAGGGTATTGTGTATCCAGTAGAAGCCTTTAAACGTGAGGGACGTGGAGCACTAGGAAGTTATGGTCCAGAGAGAAGCAAGAAAGCTCAAGAGGTATGTGTGGAAAAATAAAATCTACAGAAAAATTAAATAATTTGAGAACCTTTTCAAGTGAGCTTGGCAATCTGACAAAGAATTGTGCCTTTTGTTCATGTGAGAAATTTCATCATGTAGAGTGGGTTGGTATAAGGCAATCTGCTCATTTTTAGGCCTGACATGCTGACTGTTGTTATATTCAGTCAAATCTTGATCTATTTTTATTCAAATTTGTGGAGTTACTGTTTAGAGTGTCTTTGCTGATGTCTGAAAAAATAAAGTTATTAATTGCAAGTGGAATGGTCAACCAGTCAAGGTTTAAAAGTTAGTAGAGTTTATTTTATCCCCCTTTAATTACTGAAAACTGAAAAATGTTCTTCACCAAATAGCTGCAACTGTAGACTGACAATCCAACCAGCAATGTGACCCCTGAGTCTGTATCAAAATTTTCAGTCAATATGCAGACTTGCTTATGTTTTAAATCTGTGAATTCCTTTGGTAATCGGTGACTTTTTTGCGACCAAATCTGCCAATTGATGAATCTGTACACTCCTTTTATCTAGGTGACTAAGCTGAGTTTTCAATCCATATCTAATAATGTATGACTCAATACCTTTGATTTAAAAGTTCTCTGGGACTGCTTTTCTAATAAACTATTTTTCTACAAAAGTTACGACCTGTTTATGATGAAGAAGAAGAAGAGGAAGAAAAATTTAAAGAACAACTTCAACAGTGGAAGAAGACAGAGGAGGTATTGCAGTATTAATGAGATTGTATGAGTTAAAATCATTTATCTTAGAGAGTGCCACCCTGGCTTGGGAGTTTCCTTTGATTTTACTCACATCCCCACCCTTTTGTCAAACAAGGGGCCAAACTTTAATGTTCCAAATGTGTCATTTTTACACAGGGATATTCAAAGCCAAAATATGTTTACAAAACAGTGGATGAGGTTAAGGTAACTCAATTTGTTTCACTTCTTGTATCGTTGAGGTATTTTCCTTTGTAAATGTTTACAGTTGTGTCAAGCTGTATAAAAGATGGCTGCTCCCTGCATTACTTTTAAATTATATTTAAGCAAATCTAAGATAGTTTCCTTTTGTTCCAAACAGGCAACAGGAGGAAGTAAAAAAGGGCCATCAATATCTCTGAAGCACAGCAAGATAAAGGTAGTCATTGATATCAAGAGAGAAGTTCATCTCATAGTGTCACCTGAGAATTAAAACAAGATGCGAGATTATAAAAGATTATGAAGCATCATTTCTTCAAAGCATTAACACAAAACTTTTGTCCTCGTATAAAGTCATAACTTGCAGCAAATATTCCGCACCTAAGGCAGAGAAACTTTATAAACAAATAGAATGGACTGGAAACCACTTTTGGAATTGTCGTAAACCTGAAGACCTGTCTGTCATTTCTTGTCTAATATTATTTATCAAAGGTGGAGTTGGTGTCTTTAAAAACCCTCCCTCTTCAGGCAGTTGTTATGAGTATTGTGTACAGTATTTTTTTTAAATAATTTATTATGGTTTAGGGATGGCTTAGTGCTAAGAGCACTGACATCTCTCTGGCATGGCCCGAGTTTCATTTTTGGACATGGATTCTGAACAAATCAACACAAAAAGATTCAATTCTGACCAAGGAAACAGCTATGGAGGAGCCGTCCCTTGGAGGTGCTGCTACTGAATTTTAATTGTTTAATTTGATATGCAGTTTCTTGTTTATCATTTTTAGGTTGTCGACATGACAGGACCTGAAACAAAGATCCTGACTGGTTATGGTTCAATTGCCCAACAGCATGCCAAACCAGGAGAAGTCCCTCCAACTACTTCAGGTTGGTTGTCATACACTTTGATTATTTCTAGGTTGTTTCAGGGCAACTTGTTTTAAGTTAGTTCTTCCAGGACTCATGCTAGTGTTGTTCTCTCAGTAAAAAGTCAAGTCTGCACTCAATCAAGTGTCCCATCTAGCCACAGCTTATCCCAATTTCTGCAGCATGAAGCCAATATTTGTCTTATCATGTATGACTGATTATGTTCTTTTTAACACATGTGATGTATTTGTTTTTTGTTTATTTCCAGTACGAGATGCTGAGGCAGCCTTTTCCATGCCTGAGTTAACATATAATTTAAACCTCCTGATTGATATGGCAGAGACAGACATCATACAAACAGACAGACAGTAAGATGCATCTCATGATTAGCCAATCTTACTGAATTTATAACATAGTAATTCATTATTCAATCAGTGGCTGCATTATACTTGCAATGATATCTTAACGTAAATTAAGATGTGATTCATATTTAACCAACCTAGGACCAAGATAAAAATCTGTGTCCTCTCACAGAGATTCAAACCTCAGAACATCTTATTTTCCGCTTTCTTTAGTCTAAGGTTTGAGTACTTATGGGTGACTCAGATTTTTTTCTTTAGCCAATACTTGATACAAATATGGAGTACATTGCCTGATTTATTGATTGATCCCAACATTTACCATCTTTTGCCCATGCAATCTGCATACAAGGTCTTACCTTAGAAAGTGCCAAACAATTTCAACCAGGAGGTATCAAAAATTCCAAATAGTGTGATTTTCTGAGTAAGGTGGGGCCTAGGCAACAAGACAGGATTTTTCACAGGCATATTGTTACACAAGCATCTTACAGGTTTATAGGGAGACATCAGGCTGTTCAACTATCATAAAATGTTACTTTTTCTTGATCAAGAGAGAAGGTTTATGTACTGTTAATAAGATGATTTGGGGTGCAGTTTGGTGTTAATAAGCATGAGTAAATTTATATATATTATTAGTACCTAAAAATTTCCCCTCACTTTCTTCACCATCCTCTGTACAAGAGTAATCCTCGAAAATAGTGGTATTTCAAGATTTCTGTGATAATTTGCAGGTTGAAATTCGAGCGAGATCTTGTGGTAAATCTTAAACATGAAGAAGAGAAGTTAAGTGCAGTGCTAGAACGAGAAGAAAAGGATATAAAGAGATTAATGGAGGTTATCAATATGATTGACAGGTATTTTGATATGTGAATCTTGTCATGATTAAGGAATAAGGAGAATGCACTGGCCAGTGATAGTTTGAAGACAGTTTTCAAAATGTTATATTCCTCTTTGAAATCTTAACATGTAGTTAGTGTAGTGAATAAGTCATAGCCTCTATTTGGCATGAAAATATGCTTGGATATTTACTGGCAGACATTTTCTGTTCTGAGGAGCAAGATAGGGGGAATTTTTAACAAATATTCACAGAAGTGGAGGTGAATAGTGGTGTAAACCGAGCCACATAGTGCCAAGGTAATTACCGTGACCCACCACTTTTTAGTGGCAATGTAAATATCCACCATTTTTTACCAACACTGAGGCGAATAATTGTTTTAGTATATACCACAAAGAAACAAAAAATTATAGGTAGTTTAGTTATTTCTTTCAATATTCCAAAAAATGGTTGGAAATTAAACTTGATTTTGTGTCATCAGCTGCTCAGAGGTGACTTGTATTTGCTATCACTTCCGAAATGAAAAGCACTATTCACTTGTGTGGTATATACTAACACCAGATATTCCTCAGTTTTAGCTGGGTTATATTCAGTAATTTGACGTGTTGTACCTATTGCGTCTGAGCAAAAATATATGATTGATTATAGTTTCATTTATACTTTGTACCGGCACAAAAAACTTCATGGTTTCTGGTGCATACCTCTCTTTTAAGCTATAGAAACTTTGATAATCTTAAGCAGCTGTAAAAGTCACTCTTGTATGTAGACTTAACCTCTGATAACTTCAATAAAATGAATCCTCTTTGTTTGAATGCCGCAGTTGCCGACAACAGTCACTGTCACCAGATGACGATGCTCTCACACTTGACAAGTGCGAGGAAATGTTTAATACTTTACAGGAAGACTACTATGAGGAATTTAAGGTGAAAAGAATATCGGCTTTGCTGAAAGACAACGCTTCCTCTGTTTGGTTTTGCTTTTTTCCTATGTGCTAGAGCATTCCTCTTTTCAAGAATTCTACCTTCTAGACTGGATATTAAGTCATTTTTGGTTTGTGTGTTGTTGCAGATGTACGACCTGGCATCTTTAGCTGAGCCTCTGGTTTTCTCTTTGGTGAGTCGCGCGATTGTGATTGATTAATATGTAACTTCTCCAAGCCATTGCAGTACATTTTCCTGCAAACGTGTGATGAGAAATGACCAGCTTATCAGCCAGAAGGATGTTAACTTGATAGAAGAGCAAACTCTTTTGTCTATGACAAGGAAACGTATGGCAATTAATTGACTAATTGACAGATGGACGGTTGGACTGACCCACAGACTGATAATTGATTGGATTTATCAATTGAGTTGATAATCTAAATTGGCCACCGTAAAGAGTTTTTGAAGCTAACATTCAAAGCGTTAGTCCTTTGTCCTTCGCTTTGACGAAGAATTAAAGCTCAAATGTCAGCTCTAGAAACTCTTTGACGTTGGCCAATTTAGCTTATCAACTAAGTTGATTAAATCTAATTATCTTGTAATAACCTCGCCGACGCAGCACAATTTCTTGATTAGATAATTTTTTTGTTTTATTATTTGAGTTCATACTGTAAATTGGCCACCATAAAGAGTTTCAAAGCTGACGTTTCGAGCGTTAGCCTTTTGTCAGACTTTTCGATTTTAGTAGAAAATAGAAATTGAATTTTTTTTACCTCCAGGTGAGGAAGTATTTTCAAGGATGGAATCCACTAGTTAATCCTTTGCACGGTTTAGAGGTTATGGTCCGATGGAGAGAAATACTGGAGAGAAAAGAAGCAGAGAATTCTGCATTCAGTCTGACATTGGCACAAGGGACAGCACATGGCGAGGAAGCGTAAGTGTCTAGATGAAAATTTTCTCTTTTCACGTTATTTTACTGTTTTCTTTTAAAATCCTTCTTTACTGTCTTTACTTTTTTTAAGAATGAAGATGTACGACCGACTTGTGTGGGAAGTATGGATGCCCTTTCTTCGTTCTGTCATGTGGTAAGTGTTAAGCTCAATGTGCACGTTAACATTTTTACGAATTTTACTGCGTAAGAATGGCTTGAATTTGTGTCGTAGCTGACAGAGGATATGTATGGTTCACCGCTTGTCATTGGCTGAAATTATCCTGCGTCTGGCGTTTTCCCGCGCTTTACATTTATTTCAAGCTTGTTCCACACCTAAGCATGGTGATTGGTCTCGAAAACTTGCGTCATCATCTTAACCAATCAAATTCAAGAGTAAAACCAATCTTGACTAGGTCCATAGTATTTTCCCGCGCTTTGGGCAGTTTGCTGGTTTATACTTTGACTTCTCATTGGCTCCTTGTAAAATAGTCCCTCGCCGTGCTTGGTGACTGTGGCTACTTTAGTTTTGGTGTAACAACGCTTAATGGAGAAGCGGTTTTATACTCAGTGTTCCATTTCTTTTCAGTTCTTGGACTTGCCGTGAGTACGATAGCATGCTGAACTTGATTAATGTCTGGATACCAGTCCTTCCAGAGTGGATTTTGGAAAACATCAAACAACAGTTGATTCTGCCTCGTCTGCAGGTTGGAATCCGTGCTATTGTCATTTTTGTAGATCTTATTTTTTTTCACCGGGGTTTGCTAGAACTAAGCAAATTTTCTTTTACTTGGCGGAGCCATTTCGGAATACCCGACTCATTTTGTTGTCGCAAAGATCCATTAGTTCGCCCGCCGAAGAAAATACATGCTTTTGTCACGAGAGTACATGAGAGATGACGTGATTAACCTTTTTTTGTAACATTTCAGGCGGAAGTAGATGCTTGGAATCCATTAACAGACACTGTTCCTGTTCATGCCTGGATTCATCCTTGGCTTCCTCTTATGGGTATGTTCATCTTTTAAATTTCTTTTTCATTGCAAATTCTGTTTCGTAGCGACAATTGATTAGGTCGTAAGTCCACGCTTCTTTGTAGTCCGTCACGTTTTACGTACTGTTGTAAATAGCTTGACTGCGGACGAGATAAGACAAGACCTTGAATAACTCCAACTGAAAGATGCTTTGAATATAAAGGATTCTACCCGGCTTATGGCTTACACAGGAGTTAGCGCGCGAAGTGATCTGGGATTGCGTTGGTTTTGCTTTGCCACGCTCTGTGATTGGTCCAGAACTCCCTCCACCTTCTCAACCAATCAGATTTAAAGCCAGAACCAGTCACGACTTGTGTTTTCCCGCGTTTTTATTTGAGTTCTCATTGGTTTTTTTTTAAATTCCCCCTTATTCCCCCTGATTGGGTGTTAAGGTTACTCTGGTTTGGATTTTACGTCACACGATCATGCGTTCTAAAGCGTAACACTGACCAAGTTAACAAGAAATGTGACAGCCTTAATTTTGGTAAATTCTTGTGTTTGTCGCATGGTTTATATTACATAAGCCATTACATACCAGAACGTTTTTGCTTCGTAGGTGATCGACTCGAGCCCTTGTATGCACCGATCAGATTCAAGCTTGCTTCGGCCCTCACCAACTGGCATCCCTCAGATCCTTCGGCCAAAATGATGCTGGAACCTTGGAGTAAGGTACAAACTTCACTGGCAGATTCATAAAAAAATTTCGTTCAACGAGTACAAGGAACACAAATCCCTTGTTAGCCGCATTTTTTTTTATTTCTGCGTCACTTGACTAAGGATACATAAAATAGATAACGCGTGGATTTTACTTTTTTCAGTTCTCGGTTTTGTTTTGCGTTTTTCATTTGGCTTTTGACGAATAGTGGTAGTATGTATTGGAAATCGTATGAACGCGAGTGCATTTCGAGATTTATGGGCACGAGTGATGTTTTGAAAGTTCTCAAACTTGCACGAGCCGTAGGCGAGTGCAATTTGAGAACTTTCAAAACATCATGAGTGACCATAAATCACGAAATGCACGAGCAGGTTCATACGATTTTTTATTTATTATATTCTCGATTTTTTTATAATTTGGTGTTCAAATTTGGCGCTTCCCCGGTGTTTCCATGGCAACTTCTCCGTATTGCACTCTATAACCTCTATTGCACTCTATAACCTATTTATGCATTCATCATTGACCAATCAGAAACGCGATATTTTGTTGAGTATATAATAAAAAAACTTAAGGAATTTAACCTCATATTTATGTCAAGTGTTATGCGCATATTTTAGACCCTTTTTTTTTTTTCAATCAGTCAAGTGAGCACATTTTTCATCATTTTTTAATGTTTTCCTGGATGTTATCAAAAGGATACTGCCGTGCAACTTAACCATACTTGTTCTGAAGGTCATGAACAATAATCAATAAACAGGGAAGTATTTTGTCTTTGTTAATTTGGCAGGTGTTCTCCAAAGGCACAATGGATGCGTTCATTCTTCGCTCAATTTACCCCAAATTGTCGCAGTGCTTGTCAGAATTCATTATAAACCCTCACCAGCAGCACTTAGGTATGTCACACGGTCACTTGCAACCTCCATATCAATTGTGAGAATATGGCGTTTCATCTGGCGAGTCGTTCGATCTTGTCTTTTGGTCTTTTCTAGAATTTTTGATTCCCCTGTGTGGTTGTTCGTCTGCGTATTACCGATAGCTAACGTGGTTATGTTGTTTAGGAATTGTTTTTTATTATTATTATTTCAGAGCCTTTTCATTGGGTCATGGAGTGGGAGAATATCATAACACAGCAGCATTTTATCAGTTTGTTAGAAAAACATTTCTTTCCGCGTTGGATTCAGGTTCGTAGAGAAGTACATGGGTTTCTGTTCTCGCTTGTGAGCAGGCTCTTACTGAAGCGTTTAGTGACCCTCCAAAAACGGCATTGAATTTCCCTTGTTTTTGTTTTGACATTGTTTGTTTGCATTTGTGAACAGGTTCTCCGTGGTTGGCTCAGTGTCAGCCCAAATTACGATGAAGTGATTCAGTGGTAAGTAATTTGTTCAGTGTCGGGACTGTTGAATGGTACGTGATATTTAAATGTGCGGTTTTTGTTTTACAACTTCGCTGATGTTTTTGTTGGTTTCCTAAACTTCTCAACCAATCAAAGAACCAAAAGCCTGGCGTGATCAGCTCGTGCTAGCTCCAAGCGAAGCTTGGGCGAGCTTCTACTTGAACGGACAAAAAAGAACCCGACACGAATTACCTCAGAAGCTCTTAAACGGTTGGCTGGGAGTTTTAGTCAATCTATAACTGAATCATGTAAATAATATTGCTTTAATTTATCTTCTTTTACCTTGCGCAGGTATTCAGGCTGGAAAGGCATGTTTAGTGAGGATCTACTCAACAATCCAACCATCAAAGGTGAGTCGTTAGGTTATTTATTCATGTATTTGCGATAATTAGACAGGCTGGCTGGTTGTTCGTGACTCTTGTATGACAATTTAGGTCTGTTGACCTGAAAGCTCGCCACTAAGTCGTTACAATGTTCGCACTTGTGCAGACGTTTGATCGCGAGTTGTCTAGACGCCCTCATTTTGAGCAATCTAATTTATGTGAGTCAAAAGAACGTTTTGAAAACTAGGCCAAGAAGTGAAAGGGAAAGTTTTTTAAAACAAGCTTTATGTATTAATTTTTCAGTTCAATTCAACCGAGCTCTTGACGTCATGAACCAGGCTGTTACGTCACCAGGGGGCGTTTTACAGCCAGGTGCCAGGGAGAATATTGCTTATCTCACCAGCACTGAGAGAAGGTCAGGTTTTGATTTTGAGCAATTTTTAGTAGGGTTTCAAAAGTAAACTGGGATTACATTGGTTATCTTTTACTTCACTGTATGATTGGTCAAGAAAACTCGCGCCACCTTGTTCAACCAATCAAATACAAGTTCAAAACCAATCGTGGAACCGCGTTTTCCCGCGCTTCAGGCTATTTACTAGTTTTAGATTCGAGTTCTCATTGGTTTCCTTTAACTTTTTCATTTCTTCTGACTGGCCGTCCGGATCACCTTGAACTGGGTTTTACGGCCTTCAATTAAAGGACTCTGAGCAAAAAGTGCTCGTTTCTGAAACGGCCTTCAATTAAAGGACTCTGAGCAAAATGTGCTTGTTTCTCCAACTAAAATTTGGACCCTCGTCGTCCTCGTCTCCTAAAACTTCCCTTCTTTAGCAACATTACGCACAGCGTTAAACCAATTTTTTTTGTCTTCTTTAGGAGGGAAGCAGAAGCGGCAGCCATGGCAGCGGCAGTTGAAAAACAAAAGGTAGAAGCACTATGTCTAAACTCTCCCTCCCAGAGCAATAAATTTCTTTGGGTTAATTGTGAAGAACTTGATGTTTCATCAGTGGGACACCTAGTTGGTAATATTGTTTATACCCATGCATTGCGTGATTGCAACGGCAGTATTCCCGTGAGGAAAACATTTAATCATGGTTTCACCGGTGGGTTTAGTTTTTAGTTGGTTCGCGTCCTTGCTCCGTGGGTTTTTTTCAGGTTCCTCCGGTTTTCCTTCTTCCACAAAAACCAACATTCCAAATTCCAATTTGACCTGGTAACAGTGGACAAGAAGAGCCACCTTGTGGAATATCCTCTGCTTACTTCCCATTATTATTGTTATCGTTATCGTTATCGTTATCGTTATCATTATCATTCTCACTATTATTATTATTATTATTATTATTATTATTATTATTTATCTAATCTTATCCTACCACAGGCTGAGGCAGCTCGCACTTTGGCCGCATCTCAGAACGTCCCGTCGAACTTCAAAGATCTCATACAAAACTTGGTAAGTCTCTTGGGCCCTTTCCGTCCATTTATTCCTTCATGTTCATAATTTACAATTCGTTTTAATCTTCTCCACTCTGGAGCATCCCCGTGCTCTTCTCGTTTTTTCTTCGCACTCAATTGTTTCTCTTTCCTGTCAAACTGCTATTTTTTTCATTTTACTCACATGTAAGGTAACTTTATGCTCTTAGTCATGAAGCCCATAATTCTTTTCTTTGTAACATCCTTATTTTATTGTATATAATTGCTGTTTATTAATCTTTAGGCTGAAGAAAACAATCTTCTTTTCATGCCAACTCCTAATCGGCGTTTTGAAGGAAAAGCTCTGTACTCGCTTGGTAAAGTGACTCTATACATCGACAGAGGAGTTGTGTTTGTAAACACACAAGGCGTGTGGAAACCTGTATCATTGCAGGACTTAATGACTTTGGCAAAGTGATGGAGTGTAGCTCATGGAAAGAAAGGCTTTGTTTTTGAAAGAAAACTCGCTACTGTATTGCCAGAGCGAACAAGATACGGCAAAAGGAAAATTCTGGAGAAAGCACTGAGTAGTGCTAGTATATGGCAGCCGCTCCTTGTCCTAGCTGTCGAGAAGCTGGTGTAACCTGCTATGGACTTACATCCCATTCAGGGGGGAATGGCATTACTTCCAGTCACTTTATGCTAAAGGAATCGAAATAAGCTCTGACTGGATGGGCCATTTATCCTCATAAGACAAAAGCACTTCCAGTGGTACAACACTCGCAATCATTGTGTTATATTCAGGAAGAGGGTGGGGCAGTCCGGACCTTCCCCCCCTCATCCCATCCCATTCCATCAGACCTCTGATTTTTTTTTCTTAACATCTGTATGATACCAAAACCCTTGCAACTACAGGGTTGTATGTTACAACAAAAAATGAAGTATTTAACAATTGCTTTCCATGTATATTTTTCAGTTAATTTAGGATATAGGGTTAAAAATTATCTGTTTTCTAGGTCAACCTTCGATCTCCATTATCAAATTTTCTCGATCTACTAGCATTCAAGCAGGCCCAAATTATAAGCGCTTCTGCTCGAGTGTTTCTTCGCCCGGGGGAAAGTATGGGGCCTTGACAAATGCAAGCCAACGAGAGGTATGAAAGGGTCTAGCACACGCCCTGGCAACCTTTGCCCAACTCATTTCCAATCCTCCCGTAGACGAAGAAACGTACGTCCTGCATCGCTAGAAATTTTACTTAGCTTAATGTTCTTCCTGTCACTCACAAAAAACGTTTCATCATAAACACACAAAGCACAACAGTTCGAAAGCTTCACATGTTGATTTATTCAGATACAGTTTTCCAAAATTACAGTCATTCATTATTTGATACAATTTTATAATACTTCGTTTAAAAAAAATTAAGTTTCTCTAACTTAGATCTATAGTATTATTTTTAATGGAAGACATTGTACTTCTAGCATAAATAACAATAAAATAAATGTTTAGTTATTTTTGAACAGATGATAACATTTTCTGTGAACAATGCGTCTTGCATATTGACATTGAGGACAGCAACATTGATACTTGTTATTTTTTGCTTTTTTCTTAGCTTGTAAGAATACAGTGCTTTTCCCCTAGTTGAAACAATAGTTTAAATTTAAAAACTTGTACCAGGAAAATGAAGAGCACAAGGTCATTACTTGCTTTCTCTTAACCCCTTCACTCCCAAGATCTCATTAGTAGTTCTCCTTACTGTCTACCATACAAATTTTTTTATGTTCGTTCAGAGAAGTTGGGATTGAATCAAAGACTAATTCCCTAATTGATATTTTTCTTTATTCTTATCACTTGTAAGAAGAAATTTTGTCTCAGCCATTCAAGGGAATTAAGGGGTTAAGGTCTGAGCTCAATTTATTATACCTTGAATAGAAAATTATATTCAAAATGACCGCTAACTAACTAACCCTAGTTGAGTTGGTGTAGTGGTCAAGTTAAAGAAACAGTAGAGCAAAAATTAAAGTGGGTTGGGGTGGGGGTGCTGATAAGCAGTTGTTTGAGGTGAAAGCTTCTGTGGAGGTCTGGAGCCAACTCTTCTGTAATATGTTGATGAAGGGGGGGAAGAACCACTGCACCTTATTCCCCCTCTGTTGGCCCTTCCTGACTGAATTGTATCAATCTCTCAATTCTATGAATTGGATGTGAGAAATTGAATATGGGGTTGACTAACATATTTTGGTGAAATATCTACCAGGAGAATGCAATCAGAGTACTTTTTACTTCAATTCTACAGGTAGTGAAGCCTTAGCTTCTCATGGGTTTTCAGCACAAAAACGTTAAAAACAAACCTTGCTTGATCTTGTGGCCATTTGGAAGCAAAGCATATCTCTTATTTAGATTGCCTGATGTTTTCCTTTCCCTCTAGAACTTACTGTACCTGTAATAACTATCTCACAGGTTTATTTGCAACTTTAAATTGATTACCTTGGGACATACCGCTTCATTGCGATCCAACATTTCATCCATTGGAAGAACAAGTCACCAAATCCTTTCCAATTTATCCCCTTCTCTCAATACAAATTGATACTCAACAATTTGCCACCTTTTTTTCAGCCATTCCAATAAATCCGTTCACAGTTCATTCTAGGTAACTCCAGGGAGAGAACCACCTTTAGGTGCTGGGTGAAACTGAAGGCAGTGTAGCCATAAATGTTAACACCTTTGCCACCTACTACTCTCACAGAATAACCAGCTATGCAGGCAGGACATGCCCTTGTAACTGAAATATAAATTATAACTGCATACATGATTGTACAAATAGCATATTTATCTCTGTTAAGATTCCTCTATGTTCTCGTTATCACTTGATGAGGCGTCAGAGCCCTGTGCCGTGGTCTTCCTCTCTTCAAGTTTCTTCTTGATGACCTCAAGTCTTTGTTTAATTGAAACAAAGTCAAATGTTCCTCGTTTCTCTCCAAAGGGATCCTAAAGCAAAAAGATAAAGTTCTGATTAATGTGAAAAGGAGTGCATTGATGGTGTATTGTGTGATGGTATTTATTTATTTTACAAATGAGGTCTCATGCCAGCTAACCATTATTGGATGAGGTTGACCATGATAGTGAGAATTATTAATGCTGAGATTTGTCTTATCTGCTGAGGCTCAAGGCTGAGGTGGATAGCGCAAAGCGAGGCCTTGAGATTTCTTTCAATCATGCTATCTATCGCAAATATAATCTATTGTTAGTGGGTATGACATAAGGGAAACACAGTCAACATGAAATGGCTGCGTGCTTGTTGCTAATCTAAATTGAGATAGTAACATCAATATAGTGATAACATTTGAAAGACAGGCACACCTCTACAAAGAACAAAGTTTGTTGTCAAAAAAGTAAGTCTACCATAACCACCCAAAATTTGAAAGATTTCAAGTTGATGTTTTGAATATAAGCTTTTTATCAGATGGAAAGAAAATTTAACCAGTTATTAATAAGGCCTTGTTCTACTGTTTGCCCAAATTGTGTCTTCAATCCCTCACTGGAGTTGGGATCACGTCAATCTTTACTTAAATTTTTCACTGGCTCACTGATGAAGCACAAAGTTAGTTGGAAACAAAATGCTTGCTGATGATTACTGATAATATTTAGTTTGTCCTCACCAGCATGTTTTGTCCATTTAGATGTGAGTTATCATTGATAACTGACAAGTAGTAATCATAAAATTCCGGGAAAGATTTCTCCATCACATCTCTGAAAAATTGACCAATACAACATATTATTATCACTACAACTTTTCCTCCTTTTCTTGCCGTTGAGATGATTTTCTTAACAATAAACAAAAACTAAAGTTCCATGAATTTAAACTTATTTTCAAGCTGATCTCCAAAGTTATCAAATATGGTCAACAGTTTTGCTTCAACACTACAGTTCTTAAAGGAAAAAGTGAAGTTTTTTTCCTAGCAATTTTAAACCTTTACACCCAAACATCAGTATGAAAATTCTCCATACTATTCTCTATACATTTCCAATGTTACTTACAAGGAGAATTTGTCTGACAATCAAAGCTTCTTAAGATTGCAACCATTTCCATTATTCTCACAACCTTAATGTTTTAATCAGGCGTAAAACTGTTGGGAGAAATTAAATGCTTATCACTCTTAGCTAGATAACAAAATGAAAAGACTTACTTGAGAGCTGATGGACATTTTAGTTTTCCCTCCAGCATGTCACAAACAGCCACCCTGAGGCTTTCATGTTGGATGCATTCATTGTATCTCCTTGAATCTCCTGCTTGCCTTTCCTACAATAAGTCCACAATTCTTAAGTAAGAAACCCATGTTGTACCCATGTTGTACTGTACTGGGATGAGTTATCCCTTTTATAATGGAGTCATCTTTAACGCATCCACAAATTCTCCAAATTTGTTCTCTATACGTTTCCTATGGTACTGATGAGGAGACTTTGTTCAACCATCTACAGCTTCTTTAACTAGGAATCATTTCCTTCATTTGCATGACCTTAATGTTTGATCCAGCAACAAGACTCCCAGAAAATAAGATGCAAGTCACTCTAACATGTTAGTGGCTTCTGTATCCAAGAGCATTGCTATTACTTATTACTTCTAAAGAAGGCTCAAACCTGAATTGTTTGGTCAAGAGTATAGCCTACTAATTGGAAAGCTTACAAGTCACTAGCAGTAAACCCTATAGGCATCCAAAATTTGTCATTTTATAAATTTTTAACCCTTTAACTCCCAAGATCTGATTGTTAATTCTCCCCTGTAGCTGCAAGACATTTCCTTGTAAATTAGTTATGAGAACTAGGTGCTAGATCAAGATAGCAGCTTCTACCTGATAAGTTTGAATATTCTCTTTACCTGTTTGCTGAAGAATGTATGGATATTGTAGGGAGAAGTTTTATGTTAATCACTTCTGGGAGTTAAAGGGTTAACAGTACAGGAATTTACATTTGCACACACCTGTTCAAACCCTGGTTCATTGTGGTATGGTTTTTCATTTAACAAGGACTGAATTGAGATTAATACACTTGAAAGTGATTGTGCAGGGCTCCAAGCAGGACCAGACCAAGTCCTATTAAAAAAAAAGAAGATAAATTAGAACAGGTGACAACATTATTTCGAGTGCCATTTGGAGTTAATAAGCCAGGGTATATTTTTCAAAGACAACAAAATTACATGAGCCCATAGGGCAAGTGCAACTTGTAGTCTCTGGAAAATTTGCAAGTGCTTATTTACACCAAATTACATGAGAAATCAAGTTGTTATGTTTTAATAGTTTATATTGAAAAACACATCACAGAAAGTCAAGACCGACAAAATTTTAGCAGCATGCATACTATTTGTAATTTACACTCATTGTTACAACTTTGCACTCACTTTACACAAAAAATGCATTCTTTATAAGCCAATCAGAAGCACATCATCTTTTTGTGTACATTATTACATAGTTAACATTGCTGTATTTTGTTATAAGTGTCTCCATGATTCCCAGTTGTTTAAATACAGGTCAAGACCTTTAAAATTCCCTCACTCAATTTCAAGTCAAATATTCATCTAAATGCTCTGAAATTATTTGTAAAGATTCTTTGCACCCTTTTTTATCAGCAAAAAGTGTGAGACACAACTGTCATCAGGCATAATAGAGCCCTCTCCTGATTGAAAACAAAAATCTGCAAACATATCATCTTCTTGTTTTTACAAGAGCACTTTAATTCCTACTAAAAGCTCAACCCATAATGTTGACATGTACTGCAATGTTTAGACTCCTAACTGCTAGTCTTGATCAGCTGATGACTAGCAGTATGGCAACAGAAATGTCACAAGCAATTGATAGTATGTAGGACAATGTAGGACAAATTATTGAACATTTATTCTTCAACAAAATTTCAAGAGTAACACAATGTTTATTTATCATTATAAAATTGAAAGCTATATACACTGATAGTCTGCTGCAAAACTAGAGATATCTTTAAATATTACTTCAAATCCCTTAATTACTGATGGATCTATAGATGGTTTTAAAATTTGAAACAACAGGAAAAAACACTTACCCTAGAATACTCAAGCATACTTTGCCATTTCTGTACAAATTTGGGTTAAATCTGACCTGCCCTCCCCCAGTTGTCATTAATTTGACTCTGGGGGGTCTGATGGGGTAATCAGGAGGACACCGGATCAGGAAATAGAAGAAGCCCCCTTCATAGGGTGTGTCAAATGGGCCTGTGATTAGAGCGTGAATCTGGACAAAATAGAAATTAAGATATATGTTTTGAAAGTAGGAATGTAAAACAAAACAGAGGGATGTGATGTTATTCTTAAGTCTTATTGTGTGACTCTGAAAAAAATGGTTAGGTTTCCCTGTTCTAATATCACACATTAATTGAAATACTACATACACTTAAATTACCATACAAATAGATTCCATATTGTTGTAGGTCTGTTAAGTAATAGATCACAGACAAATGATGTCAAAATGAGGTAAAAACAAAACAGTGGCACATGAGGTACAAGAAAGTGCATCACTGACACATAAGGAAAGCATAAGCTAATATATGTAACTTATACTTTATTCTTTTGGTGGAGATTTTGATTTTTTCAATTTCCTTACTGCCCAAACCTTAATGAAATCCCTGCTTTGTAAAATAAAAAAATTCACAACAATCCTTTTATACTTTTATACCAGTGATGCCTACCATAAATGGCATTACAGCTATACATTAGGTAAAAAATTGAGCAAAAATTTAAAACTGAAAAGATTTTATGCCAAATTACCATGACCACATCCCAGTTTTCCAGACTAATCTCCCCATGTAACACAGGTCATTCAAATGATTACAAACCTTTGTGATGTCTTCTTTGTCTGGAACAATACACATCCCAGGTGGAGGTTCATTGTAAATACTCATAATATCCCTAACAAAAGAGAGGAGAATAAATGTCTGGATCTGGGCTTAACAGCTGACCATAATTATATGTAGATTTGACTCAAAGGTCCAAGAAACCCTGGAGATAAATAAACCCCATTAATGTTACTTTCAAGTAAGAATATCCAGCTGATTGTCTTCTTACAATCTAATGAAGAAGAAATCCAACTATACCATGGAAAGTATGGTGGAAAGACATTGAAGAAGACAACTGTTTGTAAATGTGTGACCTTATGCCGCAAATTTAAGAAAGGTAAACTGGGGCTGGCATTGATATACACTGAAAGCACTATGACAAAACCTCTACATGTATTACTTAAACCTCTAAATTTTTAATAAGTTCTTGACACCCTTGCTTTCAAAATGAGGCTTAGTGTAAGACCTATCTTGTGAAACTGAGTAAATTTGCACAAAAATAAAATTAATTTTCAAATTGAAAGCTTTACACTGACCCTCATTCTGAAACCAGGGCTTCATGCATCTTAATAACAGCCAGGTGGACTGCAAACTTGGTAACAGGGACACTTATCCATACCAAACACACACTTGTCATTGCAGGGACAAGCTAGTTTTTCAGAGGGGTGCACAAGCGAATTATATTCCAATAATGGAAAACGGTTCATAACCTTTCTGGTAAACTGAGAGCTAAACTATGTTTTAGAAACTTTCAAATTCTGAATAGGAAACAGATGGTAGAGTTGATTTTTCAAACTTATGAAATATTTGCACAAAATATTGTTTCGTGGTGCCCATCTACAAAAACCTACTAGCAAAAAATACATGCGACATACAGCGACCTCTTGAACGAATTTATTGAAGAAATTAGCTTATGTTTGATTTTCCGAGAGGATGCCTGCATAACTTGGTTTCCAAAGTGAAACAATAAGCTCGTTTTCGAAACAAAAGACTTGTCATTCAAAGTCGAAAGCAAATAATTCGGCATTTAATTCATCGGCCAGCTGTAAAGGTACAGAGAATTTACCGAAAATTATCCCGAAGTTATACGGGACCAGGTTTAAGGGGATGTTGAGACGAACCATGCTTCAGCGAGTTGAATAAAGCTCTGTGATGCTACCTGTCGTAAAAAAAATTCCCGTTCCTGCGTCAAGTTGAGAATTTCTGAAGTGGTCAACTCGGCAAATCGAGCCGTGCACAGAATTAATTCGATAATAAAACCACGAATTTACCTTTTGATTCTCAGAACACACTGTGGTGTAACACTTTCTTTGTCCCAGTCCTTGGAATAAACGGGATCCCATAACATATTCGAGGTTGATGCCAAGAACATATCTTCTTCCGCCATGTTGAACACACTGAGTTGTCCTTAGCATTGGAGATTGCGTATTAAAACAAATGACGTCATTGCGAAGTTTATACCTCGTTTTACGTTCCAAAGTTGATTTTAATGAATTTTGTAAAAGAATATTTAAAAATATCTTAGTGCAATGGCTATGCCTGAAAATTTTTGTCTGATTTTACAGCTGTATGTTGCGCAAAGCTTTTTGGAAGGATTGGATATGTTATCGAGGCGAGCATAAAAAAGAGGTATTAGTTAATTAGATTAGCAAGTTGAACCAGCTCTATGTTTATGCGGACTTCATGATTGTCTGATTTTCGATTTTTTCCTTAGTTTATGTTGAACTTTCTCTTATAAAAGACAGAATCCGTCGCGATGACGACATCAAAGATTGACTTGATTGATCGATGTCTAAAATGTTATGACAACCGGCAAACATTTTCTGAATAGCTAAATTTTTTTTCGATCCAAACGAGGAAATTCAGTCTTCGTATGAGAGCGCTTTTCCTCGATATTATTTCTTATGTTTGGCGTTAATTTAAAACTGCTGAATTCGTAGAAAGTTTATCCATTCAATGTTATTTCGCCAGTTTTGACTCCCAAACGTCATATGTTTATATGTATCTGTATATATCATACATGCACACAAATATGCCAGTGCCAGCGCATAACGGCATCAGAGGTCACGGTAAAATCAAGCTAACATTACAACTCCGTAGAACTGTCCACGGTTGTTTCATAACTGAACCCTGTACAATATGGTAGAGAAAGGATGTTCCCATTCAACTCAAATGTAAAGCCCAGTTTTTCTGTTTATTTTTTTGTTATTGATTTCAACGTAAAAATATGCACTACGAGGCTCCGGTGAAAAAAAACCTTCCAAACGGCATACTATGGTAGTTTATTCCTCAGAAGGCCTTGTGTTGAGATCTTTTGCGTAAAACATCGATATTACGCTCTCTGAAATCGACTTCGCTCAGGAAGGGAATACCGGAAGAAAAATACTTCCAACTTAAAATACCCAGGGTGCAAAATAAAAGCGAATTGGAAATGGATAAAATGACTTAATGTGTTTTAAGAATGTGTTTCTTTTAGCGAGGTCTTTTCCATATATTTCATCTTCATAATTGTAAGTGTGACTGAACCCGTTTTGGTGAATTAGAGGTTACATCGTCGATTGACTGAGAAATATTCCCAACACTGAAATAACGAGAAATACAATTCGAAACACAATTGACTCTGGTAAGTATCCGTTATAAATTTAAAACAATTTCCTTCCTGTGAAACAGGAAGGCAATTAGACCTCATCGAAACATCTAACCGTGTCTAAAAGAAAAGATACTGTATTGTCTTCAATATTCAAATTCCTGCCTCTTCATGTTGAGTTCTCTATCACTATAAAGTTTTGTCAACGCATATGATTTCTGCCAACTGCCTAAATAAATTCTATTAAAATTTCTTTCACGCAGAAAAGCATTGTATGCGCCATGTCGAGGCTTCTTCACTGAGGCGTGATGTTCCAAACTCAAGACATGGCGCCAGTTTTGAAAGTCTTTGTTTGAGTTCGCACAAATCAACAAGCCACGGCACAAATTCAGGTGAGATTTTAATGCAGTCTATTCAAAATAATTTCTTAAAGATATTTAAACGTCTTAATTTGTGGTTAGGGAACTTGCTCCTCCAAAAATTGACTGTAATCTGCGGTCAAGTATCATTATAACGGACAGAATTCAAGTTACTAATTGTCTGAAAGTGAAATATTCATGTTCGCTTGCAAATTGGGGTTACTGAAAACGAAAACATAGATTTTATTACGCAGTCCATGCTCAAATCGATGTTGAAACGGGCGCTTCCTGCACGGAGTTACGGCGTTACTTCACAACTACTGATGCGCAAAGATAACAAAAATATTTCAAATTAAGTTCAAGATGCATTAAACAGGTGACTTGAAATAATGATAAGCTTTTAAACAAGCAAAATAAGAAGTGCCTACTTAAAATCATAGCTTGTTAGTGATGTCTGTGATGAAAATGACTGAATTTCCAAAATTACCTCAATTGTATTGTAAAATTCACCTTCTTGACTGTAAATCCTTCACCCACTTGTTAAATTTATTATGCAGAATATTTGTTGTGGTGGTGCGTACGCACACTTTAAAAATATCAAACCCCCATTAAGATAAAACACTGAATTTGAACAGTCTGAATTTATTTCAAACCGTTGAGCGAAAATTGTGAGATGGTGCTGTTTGCATCTGTAAAACCTCGGCTGCTATATTGAATTGCTCCCGCCAAAATATGCTGAAAAAGCGCGCAAATTTTTCTTTATTTTTATTTGAATGTATTAATGACGTTAATTGATTTTCCTTGAACATAATCGGGGACTAAACTTTAATTTCCTCTATCTGAGAGCAGAATCAATTGTATATTTTTCCCGTTTCAAAGCGCACTGGCCTTTAAAAACTTCGCTAAGCTGCATGAAATATTTGAGAGCCAACACTGTCGCAATCTAATCAATTAACATTTGTGAGTCTTGCAGACTGCGATGTTAATTAGTGTAAACAACAGAAACAGTGAGCACAGAAAAAAAAATTACAAGTTACAATAACTTGAAAGAAATAAAACAATACAGTTTAGGTTCGTAGGCTTAAATATGTTTCGGGCACGACTCAGAGTCATTTATGCCCGCCAAGGTAAACTCTTTTGTTTTAATAATTAAGAATTACTGCCCTTTTTCATTTTCAACGCAATAGAGTTCATTAGAAAGCCAGAGTTGATTTTTATGTAAAATTGATTCTTTTTGCCAATCTTTGGAAACAGATAATCAAATAAAAGATATTTTAATGGATAAATCTTTTACGAAGTACATGACCTGTTTAACGGATTTTATCACGGGCCGCTTTCAGTGACAGAAATATATTTACAGTGAGTATTGGTACTGCTAGGTAAAATATGATGGTAGAATTTTAAAAACTTTAATGATAAACCATGATGTAAATCGCTCTTCATTCGCACAAGGACGATCGAACAAATGCGAAGGAATACAGCTTACCAAACTCCCAAACATAGAAAAAAAAGGTTTATTAATCACAAATAGTGGTCATTCCAATGACTGTAGATTTTGCAACGCCAGCATTTACAAAGCTTTCCTCCCGTTAAAACAGGAACACAAAGAAACAAACCTCTTCAAATTCTCAAGATTGTGGTTGGAAACGTTCATCTATTGACGTAAACAGTTTCGCGTTGGAGTGCTGTTTAAATATAATTTGGTTTATCAACTGAGTTGATAACGCAAACTGGCCACTGTAAAGAATGTTTAAAGCTGACTTTTCGAGCGTTAGCCCTTCGTCGATCGCTCTGACGAAGGGCCAACGCTTGGAACACCAGTTCTAGAAACTATTTACGGTGGCTCATTTACATCATTTATCTTGTGACACCTCCCACGGACGCAGCACCACAGTTTCTTTAGAAACTTACCCCTTTTACTTTTTAAATAGTTTTGTAAAAGGGGGATTAATTCAGACTGTCCCATGGCTTAAAAATAAGACTTATTTCAAAATCGATTTTGCTGTACACCATGAAATCGCAGAAGTAGTCACAAAATATGAATATATAAATTTTTAAGAATTATGTAAAATCATCCATCTTCCGTCTTCCTCAGCGAAAAAGGATCTTATTCCTGTAGAACCAAAGAAATAAAATGAGCAAAAATCGCATGTGGTTGATTTACAGGTTTGTTCAAAGTCAAACCAATTTTCCCACAAAAATGACTTAAATTCCCTGTATTTTGTTTTGCCTTTGTTTCACCCTAGGGAGTTAAACAGTCATAAAGAAGACCACAAAGGTGACTCATAACTACCAACGAACATTGGTAAGAGTATTCAAGTGTGGACAATTAATTCAGTCTCCTTAAATTAGCAATCAACTCACTTTACGGACACGTTTGTCGTAAGAGACGGAATTTTAAAGCTCCTCTGGTCGTCATACAACATTTCAGGATGTAACCGGTGTTTTGAGGTGAGTTAAAAGGCGAACTATGTTTGAGTGTGGACTTTCTTCGAGTCAGTTTTGAATTTTTCAATTTATTGTTTAGCAATCTTTATTGTCTTAAAGTTAAATAATTTACCCCTCTCAGCTGTTAAGACCAAATGTTTTGAACGACATTTGAGAGAATAATTTCCTTTCTGAACCAAACCTTTGAATTGTTGAAGGACTTTTTCAATAGTTCATTGATAAATTACCGATTCGCCAGGAATTTAAAGTCCACTAAAAGCCATCCAAAGGCATCTCAGATTTCTTTGCTCAGCGACTTGCCAGTCGAAACCGTGATTCCTCTGTAAGCATATTATTGCACGACTAAACCGCAACACTTACATTCAAACTAGTTTAGATCGATTTTCATTCAACTGCGGGTGTTTTTAGTGCTTAGCTGATGTGAAAAATAGGTTTTGGCGCAAGACGCGCTGGTTTACGAACCCTCGGGAAGGATTCAATCATGCGTTCAATGGGGATTGACTTTGTGTAAGCCGCATAAATTAGTGTAAACAAAATGCAACAGAAGACGTTGTAAAAAAACAACTTCATTAATATTTAGCAAATATGAAAAAATGACGCTTCATTCTTCATTTTAGCTTTTTGATGATCGCATGAGAGTTTCTGGAGGTGAAGTTATTTTCTTTCTACGAGTTTTCTTTGAAGAATCGCCCGCCAAGAATCGTCGAGATAATTTATGCTAAATATGTCCTGTTGCAAAGAAACTTCGGCGCGTTCTACGGTTAGATAAGAAATAAGGAGGAAAGCCGAGAAACCACAGAGATTTTCAATTAAGAACTTTCTTATGTGAGTAAATCGCCTTTATACAGTCCAACATCGGTTCAAACAGTCCTGAAATATCGTGCTTTTAGGCGTTTCGTTTTGAGTCTCTTCATATGCTAATTAGTTGTGCGCTATCTTCTGTAACTTCGATTTACTGTAGCTGACTTTCTAAAGATTCGTTATTTACTTGCATAGTCTAACATCAGGGTTTTAATTGATGAAAGATTTTTACAGAACGGATGTCCAAAGTGATCGGCATGTGTTTGAAAGTGAACTAAAGATGCAAAAAGATGTACTATTTAATCCGGAATTTCAATCATCTTGGCTTTCTTGCATGGGCAAAAGGCTCACTGATTCGTATCGGACATTTAAATGCCTAGTGAGCCTTTTTTGTGCACGCAATAAGGAGATTTTGCCAAGTAAGGTGCTTATCCATGAGATCAACCTAAATTGAAAATGACAGAATGACAGTCAACAAGTTCTTGTGGTAAAATAGATTTCAAAAGAATCCGAGAATCTATTTTGGCTAAACGATCATTGAGCCAGACAAAAGGGGATGAACTGACGAGTATAATTGCTGTTTTATATTACGTAGCTTGCGTAGGCAGTTCACCAAGAGAGAGAGCGGAAGCGGTTTAGCAGTCAAGTCAGTCAGATTACAAACTTCGCGAAAACTGCTCTTTACCAATTCAAGTAAATCTTGATGCGAAAAATACTTAGAAAAAAATTTGCTTCGAAATGTTTTCAAATGTAATCATTTGCCGATAGCATCATAAAGTTTAACCATAGGCAAGATAAAAGCAGGCATTTATAGCGAGGAACACAACAATCTTGAGGCAAGGAGTTTTATTTTCGCAACATTCGGCAAAAGAGTTCAACTGAAACAAGTTGTTTTCGAGACTTTTCTGTGTGATACGGATGACAAAGAGAAGGTCATAGGTTTACGAGGATGATTTATGTTTATAACTCAAGGAGCCCTGCTTTCGCAAAAGTTTGGTGAAAGAATTCATAAACAAATTGCTATCGAGACGTTTCTGCGCGATACGGGTTAAAGTTAGTGACAATGAGCAGGACAGAGGTACTCTTAATAGTTGTTGTTTATTACTTCTAGATAATGCCCTCGAAATGATTCATTTCATTTATCATCGTTCGACCGAATCTTCCCGCTGTGGGCAAAAGACCAAAGCGGAATAAGTTGGTTTGTATCTGAATTTCGAGCCAGTACTTTCGATCGGAAGCGCTTTGGTGAAGAATGTAATTAGCAGGGAAACACGCTAGTGCAAGCTTTCCCACAAATCACCTTCTTTAGAAGAATTTCATGTCTTCCTTTCTGTTCCTAACCTCATCCAATTTGTTTTTTTTGTTTGTTTGTTTGTTTCTCAACCAAGCGAACCACTTTCGATCAATAGTTTCTATTTTCCTTACTCTCATAACCTTAATGTGTGATTCAGCGGTGATATTGTAAGGAGAAATTAGATGCTAATCACTCTCAGTGGTTTAAGGGTCAAAACGCCCCCGAAAATGCAACTGAAACCTAAACGGTATTTCCCACTTTGCACTATGGAACTTGATGAAATGGTAAATATTAGCAATGATCAGCACAAATCTAACCTAATGTTCAGTTCAATGTGGGAGTTGCGTTGTATTTCATTCGCCTAAAATAGAATCTAGGCTGTGGTTTTGGTCAAACTTCACTGATTAGTAAGTTGTTTTTCCCTTTATGAGACCCTAATTAGCTGAACCCAAAACTGATCCACCATGTCATTTTATGAACGGGAACGCCTTCTATTACAGAAACTGCGGTGTTTTATAGGGACTTCCAGCCTCAACCGCATATGTGGAATTTTTTCCTGTTTTTGATATCCAATCAGCTACTGACACCGTGTCACTCATCTCTCTGACAGTTTGATGAATCACTGGCAAAGCGTTTACCATTTTCATTCATTAATAAAGTCGACTACTCTTGTCAGTAAAGGCCTATGGTGTTTACACTTTAAACAAAATAATACATGGTTGTAGTTTTGGAATTTCTCTTGAAGAGAAATGCAATAACCACGCGCACCACGCATAATTCTCTATTTAGAATTATCAAGTTTATCGCGCAACATATCACGCCAGCTTTCTCCTCTTCGACTGCCGTAATTTATGTTTTTGCTAGAAATTGCGCAATACTTGTTTTACTGAAAAAAATATCGCTTTATTTAAGAAAAGACAAAAACTTGTTTACGAATGAAAAAGGATTATGCACATTACCTCTCTAGTGGGCTCTGGCCTCGAAGAAAAATACCAATATTTAAAATTTGTTTCCTACAGATCAAAATATTCTTGTAATGTAAAACAACACAGGATCTTCTGTGTTTAAATTGGCGAGATTAGCTCGAGTGTGATCAATCACATTTTGTTGTAATGTGACGGGCATAGATAATTCTAACTAATGTCTATTACCACTCCCTCTATTATGCTCATAGGGATTCACTTAACACCTTATTTATAAACCTTGTTTCGCGTACAGCCCTCGCTGCCTCTCAGTTGTGAAACGCGACCGAGGTCAATAATTAATCCTCCATATGGACTTCTTGGTCGGTCCTAACAACAAAATAAACATCTCACTCTAACCCTCGAAGAGGACTTTTTAAGAGGTCCTTAACTTCAGTAAGATAAACTTTTTTAAATCCATTGTGTTTATTCACTATTGAACCTTTAGTCTGCCCTTGAGCGATAGTATTTTTACGACTTAACTCTGAAACTGAAAGATCTACAAAAATATCCGTAAATAATCGAACAAAACCTAATTGTAGTAAGACTTCCAGTCAACCACGCCAGAAAATGGTTCTTGTTTACTCGTATTTCGCGCAAAATTAGTTCCATTCAACCTCCCACAGATGTTAATCATCCTATCCAGATTTCATATATTGTAACAGTTGTCACTGATTTGTGTCCAAAATTTTTCATTTCAGAACTTTTGAAAACCAGTCATAATTAAGTTATCCTGCGTCGTGTAAAGTGAATACAAGCTTCTGTATTGTGATTTATGTTGATGCCTCCCAGGTGTTTGTAAGTTTAGCGATATGATCGCATTTGTTCTTCTTATTATTATCGATTGAAACAGGTGACGGGATTTCCAAGCGGGTCGACAAAGCTCCTACGATGGCCTGAGTCTCTTTTCCGCGAAAGAATTCGATCGCTAGAAGGGAAGTGCAAAAAGATAACAAGTGAAGGGAAAGCAACGGTTCCCGAAGTTGAATGAAAAAGTTGAGAGATCACTGATTAAAAGTAGGTAAGTCAAAAGCCAGTTTGTACCTGTATGTTATACAAGGTTTAAAATAACAACTCCGCGGAAGGCGACCGCGAAGTTCCGATTTCATAATGACTTGTAGAAATTGTCAACAACTACAGCATTACGCTACTTTGCTCACATATGATTCCGTTTCTCGTGCGAGTCGGAGAAATCTTCCCTTGCAGGTCTTCGTTTGATTTATCTGCCCGAGATCAAAATTCTAATTTCAGGTTATTGGATATTTGTGAGGTTTACCTCGATATTTCATTACAAATTGCAAGAATTTGTAGCATTTTATGGTGAACATTTTATGTGAAAGAGCGCATAATAATCAATACAACTTATATAAGTCTTCTAAAAGTTCAGTAGTGAACAGAAAACTTTAAAGAATAAACAGAATGCAGTCGTATTCTTCGAATAACATACAGAAGAAAGATTGTCACTGATTAGAGAATGTTGATTAATGTAACTCGAAGAAAAACGCAGCCTGCTATAAATAATAAATGAAGGAGACTGCAGTTCGCTTGAAAACACTCTCTTACACACATACGATTCTTATTTGCAGTTATTTGCTAATTTGAAGCGGATTTTTTTTTTCATTTCATTTTTTTAATAAGCTCGTGCAAATTTCAGCTCGAAATTGAAGTCTACTGAAATTTCCCTCTGTATCGGAAAAAGTTATTCGCATGATATGATACATTCGAAAAAAATTTTAATTTCAGCCGACAGAGTGAACCACAAACCCGGGATTTTTGACGTCATAGAAATTAACTGATGTAGATAGACTGAACATGAACAGAATAACATATTTTGGCCGTAATATTTCAGCTAAAAACTTCCTTTACCTGACAATCCCTATGATTAAATCCCAGAATCGTATGTAAAAATCACTTTCCAAATTAAAGTACGAGATTCTTTTTCGCTAACACTCAAGCAGCCCCGTGGTGTTGACCCAAATTTTGATAAATTTTTCACACGCGTTACTTTCATCATCAATTCCTAAGAGTTATTCCTGAAAGGAGCCCATTCCTGAGCTGAAAAAGGTATTATTATTCTGTTTGCACTACGATGGAGCAATTTTAATTTCCATTCAAAGGAGTTTATTTATAAGGAAATTGAATTTTTTAAGTTTCATTTGAAACGGATATACACTGATAAAAAATTCATACGATGTTATACACAACTGGTGATAATAAGAATTTTCTTGAACCTTTTTCTTCCTCAGTTAGTCTTCACTAAAAGGGCGGTTATGGGTTATTACTTGTCCGAAGTGTACAGAACTATTTCCAAAGCCTTTGGGGTTGGGGTGGGGTGGGGAAGAGAGTTACTCCTAAACAGACCATATAATTATGTGCCGGCTCCAAAGGGGAAAAACCTCGAGCCGTGTTTGGGCTGAGATAATTGACTGAGAAAGAGAAGTGACCAAAACATATCGTTCAAGCTGAATTCACAGGTTTATCTTAGCTTTTCTTTAGCTTGTTACTAATGCGGAGCGTAATCGCGCTAGGCAACAATGCGTAATGGATTCGCAAACTAAGCGACAGTCTCCCAGTTCCCCTCCCCCTCCCCCTGGAATTTAGGAGAGTACCCTCTCTGATTTCTTTTTCACGTCAAGAAAGGTTCGCGCACCATTGGCCTCGAAACTCCTTTTTTTCATACATTCACTTGGGTATGCGCCGCACATGGCCCTGTAAAGCTATTACATTTTGCATCATAACCTGTTAAGAGAGAAAAACACTCTCTTGAATTTGTCTATAAACAAGAAATTGAGAATGAAAGAGAAAGTTTTTAATCAGATATCTAAAGCTGTAAAGTTTTTGAGTGCGTATAAAAGAGAGTTTTCTACATAAAAAAATCTTATTAAAAACCTAAGCATGTTCATATGGGAAAAATCGTTTTCTCCAGGAAAAGCTTATTCGATCGTAATAACTTTTCTGAATTTAGAATTTAAATTTAACTTAAGCTTAAGCATGGGCTGCGGTAATATCGTAACTTTTCTGGATTTTTCTGTGGTGAACACCAAAAGCTTTATTTTTAATCTTGAAACTAAAGTGTTTTTAGATTTCGTTTTCGTTTGCTGTTCAAACATAATCAATTTTACTGTTATATTTTTATTCATTTCACTGGATTTTTTTCACTATAAGGTTTGCAAAAGATGATCAAACAAAAAAAGATAATTGTTCCTATTTTAACATTTTTCCTTGTAAGAGGGAAGCTTAAGGTAAAAGTGTTTCCTTCATCCACAAGGTCTGGAAAAAAAAAATGATTCGTCGAAATTCAGTGCATTTTTTCCCCACAGGCCAATTTGTTTTTTTACAGTGGAGAGCGGCAGATAATAAAGATAATAGCTAAAGTTAAGATGGTTCGATGATATAGTTTTGGTTAGTTTTTATTTAGACATGTTCATTTTGTCCAGTGAGAAGAGCGCTATTTTGAGAGTTTGCGTTTCTGTTTGGTTCTGTCCCGTTCGAAAAAATAAAGCAGTTTACTCATTTTAAAACGAGTTAATATAACAAAAAATATTTTTGGATAGATAAGACACGAGCACTTGAAATCCAAAATCTATAGAGGAAGTTAAATGAATTTAAGCAATAATCTCATTTCGAAGTAAAAAATTTATTTCAAAAACTAAAAACTCGTCCTCTGTTCCACCTACGTTTCAACAAATATCGTAATAACCCTAGGTTGTACGTTATATCATGAGCTTCCAGTGATCCAGCAGAGAGAATTATTTGTTTCTTGTGTTATTAAAATAATAAAAAAATTGTTTACGGATTATCATCTACCATCGAAGGTGAATCGCCCATGGCACTTTAATTCAAAATCTAAAGAGAAATTCAGAGAACAACCAACGTAAGTTTGTAGTGAAAGTGTTACAAAGCTTTTTTGTCAAAATCTTACGATCCCTACGTACGTTTTCATACCCTGTCAATTGTTTCATAGGATATGCTGTTTTGAAAATATTGACCCTTTTTTTCCTCCCAGCTCCATGCACAAATAAATACATGTTAATTAAAAGACACAGAATTATCATTATCATCGATTTTCCAAAAACAATGAATATGTTTTTATTTTCATGTCGGATCAGTTCAGTTTTGATAAATAAATCCTCTTGTTTGTGGAGGCTGTTGCGACATATGTAAAGAAAGTCAAACGACTGGACTGTAATTAACGGGAAATCGTGTTTTTTCGATAGGATCATGAGTATTATTTTGAAAAATTTTTAGCCCCAAAATAGGAAGACCTTGTTATTTATTTAAAACTTTCGCAGCGAGTGCACCAGCGGAAGTCCTAGATTATCGCGATTTGGTAGTTCTTCGTCTAGACACTGAAAATTTCTGCGAAGATGTTTTGAAACAAGGACTTTACTGCTTACAGACGAGGATTTTATCTTCAAGGTGAGCTTAAAGGCTTCGTCGTTTCGAAGCAATGGCCAACACTGAACAGTTTTAGAATTTTGTGTCGACTGCTAATATTTTCAATTGTAGGCTACTTCGATTCTTTCACAATCGCGTGCACAAATGTAGTGTAAATAACACATTTTTAACATGTTCTCAGCGGCTTCGCGATCGTCTTGTGAAATACAGATAATAATAAGTCCTTTCAACTTATATTCTTCAATATTCAGAAAAACTCTTGAAAATGTGCTTCGAGAAACCGCGGAACGAGAACACGAATGCTACCATTATTTTCACTTGTAGAATCTGGTTCATTCTTATTTTTTTTAATGAAAATGTTAAGAAAGTGAGGATTGCAAAGATTGCAAGGTTGAATTCATTCGTTGAGTAAATCCCACAATATCTGATAATAATAGGTGTTTATAGTAAAGACGGCAAATCAACAACATTTTCCATTGGACTGGAACGAAAGAATATTTCCAATATGGAAATGAGTTTCAAGATAAGCAGACTAAACCAGACAGTGTGCTTCTTACGTCAAGGTTCCTGTGTGTTCATTGACTGCTTAGCAAAACATTATAGGTATATGGTTTTTTTTTCTTCCCTGGTTACATAGTTACACTCCTTTCAAACCATTCCATGCTGTCCATTAAAGTTACTTTTTAGCATTACATTGTATATCCTTGATGCATGGCATGAAACGCGTGAATCGCGCGTGAATTGTGCGTGAATAGCGTGTGGAAAGTAACAGTCACTAATAGTAAATAATTCTCATATACTTACGGACCAGTCATTAATTTTCGCCTCGGAGGGGGGGAGGGGGAAGGGAGGGGCGGTTCAGAGGATTTTGGCGGTATCACATTTATTTTCAAGGGGAAGGAGTTGGGATCAGTCGTCTCAAACATTGCAAACAGCGTATAAAGAGGGTACTACAGAAAATTGTTTAGCAATTTAGGGTTATCATTTGATAACTACAGAGGCCTAGAGGTGACTATAGAAAACTGTGTAGCAATTTAGGGGTATCATTTGATAACTACAGAGGCTTAGAGGGGGAATCGGGTTAATTTTACCGCGACACAACCAAATCCTCCAACAACTCTTCCCACCCTCCCCCACCCCCCTCCCCGGCGATGGATCTTGTATATCATCAGAAAAATTCCTGCACGCCCGTTAACTTTTGGGAGAACATCATCCCCTGAGAAAATAAATCGAGAAAGTGCTTTCTTATATCTAGGTTCTGTGCTTGACCGAAAAAAAATAAAACAAACAACATTTGCGCAAGCTCGCGACCAAAAAAATTATACAACCAAAAGATGACAATTTCCCGACCCATCCCACTCGTGGCCTCTTTGAAACATGTATTGTCCACCATTATTCGCTTTTCATAAACATAATATTTTCCTTTCTTCTTTCAGACTTTAGCTCAATGGAAATTCTTGTAATAATAATTCTCGGTATCACTGGTGGTGTTATGATCGCCACGGTAGCAGTCTCGGGTATTTACTACTCATACCGAACTAAAAAGGCGGGAAAAGACAAAGAGAAGACTGCTGCTAAGGTCACTACTAGTGCCCCATTGCGCCGATCCGTCCGCGCGGAGTCTGAGTCCTTTGTTGTGATTCAGGATGAGTCTGTGGTGGATTTTGACAGCATTCCTGTGCAACCTGAAACAAGACGACCAATCAGGTATCGGTTTCACATTGTTTGGGTTACCTGTGGAAATCTTTTTTCGAACGAATGTCCCATACGGTCACCATGTACTTATGGTCTTTGCATAAGTGACATTCACCCTTTACACCCTAACATCAATATTCATATTCTCCATACTGTTATCTGTTCATTTACTATGGTGCTGACAAGGAGAATTTGTCAAACAATCACGAGTTCCTTTAGTTGCTGATCATTTCCTTTATTCTCATGACATCAATGTGTGATTCATTGGTGATATTGTAAGGAATAATATTGCCTTGCGTCTGTTCAGTGATACGTCACAGATGACGTCAAAATGTAGCAAGGGAAAAAAACTGGAAAACGAAGCGCAGGCGAGTGGGTCACTGATGTTCTCACGCCTTCATATTACCTACCAGCCTTGGGTTTAAAAAAAAAAAAGTGCACGTTCGATGAATTTCGAGACAGCATTTGTCGTTATTCGATGTTTGCCGTTCCCTCCCCTACCGACCAAACCACCCACCCATCGCTAAATTCCACCTTACCGTGGTTCACGAAACAAAATAAAGAACCTGATTTTTGTTCCCAGGTCTCCCGACGATGTATATCCGCCGCTAAGAGAGGAGGAGCAAGATGACTACCTACTGAATAGCCTGGACATGGATCTTAGTTCCACTTCGGTTATACCACCGGTGAGTCACGTAGCTAAAAGCCGAGAATAAATCCACTTTGGTTGGTTCGCAAATATTCCATATGTTGTAGCAATGATAATAACTATCATAATAATATAATTAACAATATTAAGTAGCATCACATATAGACTCAAGTCCCAGTCTCCAACAAGAATATTGTGGATGCAATGTTTGAAGTATCAATTTTTCAGTCAAGATCAAAGTTTGTATTTCTTCAATGGAAATGTTCCCTAAAAAGAGCTCTGCTAGAAGAGAGAAATATCTGTCTCCTATTTTTAGAAACATAATCAGATCATTTATTTATTAAGTTAGCTCTCCTATGATATACTTTCGAACTTTTGTTTTGCCTGACTGTGTCTTACTTTGATTTCATCGTTTGATTCTTAGGAGGAAACAATAGAAAGGAAAGGATGTTTGGAATTTACATTACATTATTATCAGCTAAGGTGAGGTTTATGGGTTTTCGCGGTTTAATAGAAAACTTTTTTGTGGTTGTTTTGCACAGGGCTAAAAAAGACATGCAGTATAAAGCAATTTTCGATTGAGTGTCGAAAATAATCTGAGATCGTTTGATTTTGCATTAATTCGGTTCGTGATTGGTTTAGAAAACTCGCACCATCCTCATAGCCTATCAGACGCAAAACGAAAACCAATCGTGACTCGGTCGCCCGCGTTTTCCCGCGTTTTTGATGGTTTGCCTGTTTTCCTTTGAGTGCTCATTGACCAATGAAGATTTTAACCTTTTTTATGATCTTGAGAACTAGCGATTAACAAAAATGGATTGTTGCATTCCGTTTCAAACCTTTTAGCTCCACCCTGACATTGACTTTAATTCGTCTTGGCGACCTTCCCCTGCGTCCATCCACGGGAAAACCACCGGATCCTGTCGTCGAGTTCGAAGTCAAGTACGGTCACGAAGGTAAAATCAAGTCTGAGGTGTACCACACCACGTGCGATCCACACATATACGAAAGCTTCCGGTTCGAAATTCCCGTCAACGACCTTGGAAACCAGACGCTGACGTTTAAAGTGATTGATATGATGATAACCAATATACCTCCACCTCCACCCCCACCACCACCCCCAGAGGACGATAAGAAGAAGAAGAAGAAGAAAGAACCACCGCCACCCCCTCCTCCGCCTCCACCACCCCCTCCCCCAACACTGATAGGATTTGTCACGGTACCTCTGGTGAGCGTTGCGATGAAAAAATTATTGTCCGATACTGAGATTACGATCCTCCGTGATGTCATTAAACTCAAACCCAGGCGTCCGCCGCCAGAAAAGGTCGATACTGAGGGTGAGACGCTGGTATCGACCACGGGAACGGGAACGGGGACAGATGATTTTGAGGATGCACAGGATACTGTAGACGCGGAAAGCAAAGAGACAAAAGAAGAAGAACAAGAACAACAAGAGGAACAAGAGGAAGTAGAGGGAGGAGGAGGAGAAGAAGAGGAAAAGGAGGCCGAAGACGAAGAGCCTGACACTTCTCAGGTAGGTTGTTTTATCCATTATGTTTGAGTTATTATTGTTTGTTTTCTTTGTTGTACTCTGCCTTTTTTACCGTTTCACCGTTCCATAATCAAGGCCGTACTCTACTACTTTCAGCGCAGCTTTAATTTCACGGCCTAGGCATTCAATTTTCCACAATTACATTGTCATTCAGGGTTGACCTGCGCTACATGTTCTTACACCCTTTTCCCATTTCATGACCCCTCATTCATCTTCTACTGTGCTATAAACCATCGAACTATGAACACCGCAATGACTCCGCTTTCCATTGAGCTGTCCTCTTGTCTTTTCTCCCATAGGCAGAGGAACAGGTAGTAGAAACAGTCCCCCCACATCGCCCCTCGGTCACATTTTCCCGTGATGTGGAATCAGACATGCCGGGGCCTGCGTTGCTAGTGTCCCTAGCATATCTCAAAACATCTGAGAAACTTACAGTAATCGTGATGAAAGCGAGGGATTTAAGGCCAATCAGCAAAAATAAGAAACCTGGTGAGTAGAATATTTGATGAAGTTAGAATCCTTTGTCATATTATAAAAGACAATGGAAAAAGATCTGGTGGTGCACGCTTAGCAGTTTGGACACGGTAAAGAAATTGGGTGGAGGTCACTTCTAAAGAGAAATATTTTCAAACAAAAATCTCATTTTTTTTGAGTGCTGTTTGACGAAGTCCCACCGTACAGCTTAAGTATTTATCGCATATGACCTCCTTAACCCTTTTGAGTCCAGTATGGAGAATATTCAAACAGACGTTAGGGTGAAAAGGTTTAAAGGACGATAATTCCTACTCCATCATATCGACGTGAAACACGAAACATGCGAAAAGTTACACTGTATACTGATGCTAGATTGTAAAGGGAGAAGTTTCGGGTAAATGAGGACTGCTACGGTACAACCTAACCGAAAGAAAGAACATTATACTCCTATAGACTAGACTTTTTCATTAAATAACTTGTGATATTCTTAATAAAGAGCTTATTTTAAAGGCAGTACAGTATTCATCCTCAGTAAGGTCACTTAAGCCCACTAGAGTCTATATCTTAGCTCACCACTGACACAAACTCGCAGTTTTCTTCAAAATTCCTCCAAATGGAGAACATACACAGTAGGTCTCTCTCGGTATAGTTTTCCAAACAGTCGGTCACTCCCGACAGCAACAGCTCACAACCACTAAAGGACTGAGCCTTTATATACGTTTTAAAACTATTCTAGAACATACTGGAAGCTTACAACGCAGCTATTTTGGTAGTATTACATCACAACTACGTGACCTAATGATATGTTCAAAAAAAATTCCATGGTATGCACGTCAGCGTGACTAAGAATTCTAGAAATTTCTATGTAATTATCTTACAGTTATTATCCATAGCAATACTTAAACCCATCATGGGCATAACATTCATTCTGTGTTCCTCATTCAGATCCATTGGTTAAAGTGTACATAAAGATGGGTGATAAAAAGCTAAAGAAGCGTAACACGTTAGTGAAAAAACATGACGTCCCTCCCGTGTGGAACGAAGCATTTAGTTTTGCCATTCCGCACCGAATCCTCCACAAAGTGGCCGTTCTTCTTCAAGTGAAGCACTTCTCTGAACGAGGAAAGAAGCGATTGCTAGGCAAGATAACGATTGGAGCGACGGCGAACGACGAAGCTGTAGATCATTGGAATGCCATGCTGACTTCATCTTCGTCTGTTGCCAAATGGCATTCATTGGATGAAGAGAAGAGTGGACGGAGGAGCAAGACGCTAATGAAGCAAAAGTCGTCTTGAAGGTTTTAAGATTTCCTCTGTGTCATGAACGGCGAGGATCTGAGGAAAGGAAAGTGTCATGTGATTGCTACTCAAGAAGTTATGACTGATTAATTTCATGCTTTATTTACGCAAGTTTTCATCGCTAAACCTTCATAATGGTCACCATCACTAGCAAGGGAACATTAGATCTAATGTTTTCTTGTTAGTGATTTATCAATATTAATAATATTATCTTATGTCAGGTTGTCCTCGTCTGTGTTTAAGTGTTTTGCTGGATCGCGTAAAATCCTAGGTCCTCACCTCTCGTTCTCAGGCTTCGCGGTTCAACTAAGGCTGGGCATACGAGTTCATCAGTGAGAGTACTGGGCTTACTCCAGGATCTCCGCTGTTACTAGCTCAGGGGCAGAACCAGGAGTGCTGATGAGGGTCGAAACTTTGATTCAGAAACGTTTCTTTAACAAATTCTTAAAATTAAATCAATTGAATGCTTCAAATAATGTCGTAATATTCTATCCTGTTGTAGCACGAATTTCGGTCGAGACAAGTAGTATTTAGAAACCTGGGGTTTAATAGAGGGGGGACCGGTCTCCCTTCATCCCCCTACCCTTCCCATCCACCACTGCAAATGTAAAACGCAGCTGACATGTAGTATTTAGAAACCCGGGGTTAAATAGAGGGGAGACCGGTCCCCCTTCATCCTCCTACACTCCCCATCCACCACTGCAAATGTAAAACGCAGCTTTGAAAAAAATGTCGTGGGTGACTGGGGTATATCAGGGTATTAGTAATTAATGTAATAAGTGAGCAAAGAGAAGCCAACAAAATACAAAGCCACGAAGGGAAATTTATTGCTTAGTTTCCTTTACAATATGGTAAAAAGTTTACGTTGGTAGATCGCTTCTTCTTTGGAAGGCCTCCACTTTTCAGTGAGGTGTCAGAAACTAGAAAACCGCAAAAAATACAAAATATCAGCAAATCATGACAAATTGTGTAACAAACTTTCCAAAAGAATTTGTTTGTATTAACAAGCACTGGAATACCTTTGAAGGTTAAAAAATATTATTCTTATTATCTTATTTAATTGTCGTTAATACGCAAACTTCAGGATGGAAGGGAAGGATTTTAAGGGATTTTTGGTATTTAAAATTCCAAAATGTCAAACTGGAGTGAAAGATAAGGGCTTTTAATGAGTGTTTTTGAGAACGAATTTTATAGTCACATTTTTAATATATCCTTTATACCTTTTTTTTAACTGCAAACTAAACGTAGGTTTCCTTTTGTTTTATAAAATCACATTTCCTTACAGGGAAACGGCCTGTTCCATACAGGGAAACAGTGCTCTTTTCCCTTCATGTAGCAGCGGCCGAGATCCACGAATGAAGAGGAAAGAGTCCTGGGTACGAGCTTGCGGCTTATTATAAACTGATCAATAAAAAGTAATTAATAAAAAATGGTTAGTTTTTTCCTGGATATGTATACAAGGTTATTGTAAAGAAGTCGGTTATATATTTGGCAAACGTTTACTTTCTGAGGGACTGACTGATGCAGAAGCCTTTACTTAACAGGCTCCTGACTGATGACATAATGGGTTTGAAGACAGAACGGCAGCGGTAATATTTTGGTTGGTTTTTTATCTGGTTGCAGTGTTGTCATTCCTCACTTTAAATTCTTGAGAAAGGAGAACTTATAGAAGATATGATTAACTTTCGAAGGATTTATAGTTAGTAAAGCTCCCCATATTAATGACTCGTTAATTGAAATTACTGGTAATTTATAACCTCTACTCTCACTGCTTAGAAATTTTTATGCAAGCGTCGAAAGAAATCCAATTTTGTCTCTGTTTTGCTTCTCTTCACCTTGCGATTGGTTTAAAAAAACTCTCGCCTCTCTCTCAACCGATGAGTTTCAATTTTAAAGCAATTACGACTTTGTCCTGTGCGCGGTTTTCCCGCGTCTTACTTTGAGTTCTCATTGGCTCCTTGCGATAATTTCCTCATTCCTGATTGGCTCGATTTCTTTTGCTTTAGCTCGATCGAAATGCACCAAGCGACAAAATCCTTCATGTAGACTGCACCAAAACATTTCCAATAAACGCTCTCAAACGAAGGAGACCTGGTAACTAGACAGGAAGAATTCTTACAGCTGCGGGGATGCTACAAACACGAATCGAAAACTTAATTTAATTCTTGTGCAGGGTTAAGAAATATGTCAAAGGTTACTTTATGATTTTTAAAATTAATCCTCCTTCTTCAAGAATTCATGCCGTGTTTTTGACAAGTGTCAATTTACATAAATTTTAAGAACATACCCCTTTTATTAAAAGTGTTATCAGTAAGCAAATAAATAAGCCTCCTTACAGGTAGATTGGCTTATCCGCGGCACGGAAACGAAATAATTCGCCAATTTTCAGTTTATTTCCATACTTTTTGGAAGCCGAACCGGGGAAGAGAAAAAAGCTTTAAATTTATAAAAATTCTGAGCGAAACACGAGTTTAAAAAGGCAGCTGGCTCGTGTGAAATAATCAATAATTGACAAAGACGGTGAGACGTGAGGGAAAGCCTACTGTGGCCTTTGTTTGTGTAGTGTATTTGGCGTGGGTTGTAGATAACACAAAACACTGTCCATCGGTCAATTGATAGGACATAAGAAAGAGATAAATCTTATTCGCTCTTCGTTCATTTGTATTTCTCCTTAATCACCGGCCATTCAAAGGCAGCCTTTGAATAAGTTCACAGCAGAGGTGAATTTATGCAATCTCGTGGTTTTCATGTCCAACCCTTGAAATATTTTTATACTCTTGATGAATCTGTTCTACCGCTGGCCTGATTTTTCCAATGCTGCGGTGAAAGGAGAGTAGTAGATGGCTTCCGCGATACAATACATATTTTAGCAGGTTCTGCATTGTTGTTTTTTCGTCTCTTTTCGGCGCCGCAGCGGCTTACGTCGAAGCGAAATTCAAATTAACATAAACTGAACTCTGTTGTAGCTATGGCGGAAAAGAATCTTGGACCACTAGACTTAAGGTAACGTGAATCTTTTTTTTTTCTGCTCCTTCCCTTCACTGTTTTGTTGTGGTTTTTTTTGAAATATTCGCATTTACCGACTTAAAAATTAAAACTCTTATAACGCGGTTTATTCCAAATTTAGTTTACTCAATTCCTGACCTAGCCAAAACGCGCTGAAGTATGGCGCAAATTATACTTATGTTTAAACATGAGAAATGAGTGATTTTCTTTTTAAAGTAAAAGAAATCTGAAATGAATCAGGCAAAATCAATATTGTGGCATCTTCAGAAATAAAGCATAAAGCGTCGATTTGCTATCCGCAAACAGTAAATTCGTCTTCGCTCGCATTTTAATTTCCATCGCTCGCTCTTTAACGAATCTTCATGGCTTTAAATTTTCCATTGGACGAAAACTAGGATAAGTTTTATTTTTCAGATCATCATATTTTTCGGTTTGAAGCGTAGAGGTTATAATTTACATATTTGTTTTGCCTCTCAAATATTTAATGAAACTGAAATCGAAGATCAAAGAAAAATGTACCTTTCGAATGAGCAAATGCGGTTTGTTAATCAATATCGCGCCTGAATTATGGCAAATACTTTCCGTGCTGTCCAGCTTATGCCATGGCGACAAGAGTAAAAATAGACCCACGTCTTTTTCGAAAATCACATTAGCATTCCTAGTTCCGGACGTCAATTTGTTTCTCAGGGAAATTTTATTTTCGTGTTTGTCAAAATATTTTCATTTCCCGCTGCCTCAGCACGAACTCTCTAAGTGGTCTTGAAAATTTACCCGAAGAAATTTCAAGACAAAGCAGCGTATGGATGGTCATTTTTATCTTTTAAATTCTAAGCGTGCGTACATTAACAAGTTTTATGAAAATTGCTAAGAAAGCAGTGAACTTTTGGTTGCTTTCAATCACATGAGATGAACGCATGCGCAGATTTTCATACAGAGCAAGATAATTTTGCGGTAATCAATAAGGAAGATTTCTCGAAAATCTTATTTGCGCTCGAGGGCAGTTTCACGTTTTAAAACGGCATCTATTTTGAGATTTCCATGTCTCAGTTCGGGTTTAAAAGCCTTTATAAAGAACTGAATTGGTGAGTACCAAAGAAAATTTATTTACATTGGTTTAAGGTATTCATCTTATAACTTGGAAAGTTACATATGTTTTGCACTAGCTGAAAGTCAAAGTAACAATAGATCTTTTTTCGGTGTTTAAAAATTGGATTTCTTCCGGGCAATTTTTTTCGTATTATTTCTATGGTTGTTTCGCCGAGAGCGTTTTAACGAAGAATGCAATTCTGCGTATAGTGTTCGTTTGCCACAGTGAATGCCTGCGGTGATCTTAGCGTGAGGTCAAAAGTAAGCTACCTTTCCGAACGAGTCGATGTTTTTCGTTATCTGCCATCGAATAAATGCAAAAGTTGTTCATTGTCTAAATTTTATAAAATCAGGAATCTTAATAATCTGCGAAAGCGAAAAACTGAAAAGGAAGTAAATTAAATTACGGGTGAATGTAAATTGGAGAACTAAATAAAAATGAGATATGAAAGAGATTTACATGGAAGGAATATCTACAGCAATTCTTTAAATAGCAACCCAAATTGAATTTTTTTTTTCACTCGTTCGCTTTTGCATTTGATAAAGAAAAACACGATAAGTAGAAAATTCTCTCTTGTCCTAAAATCTCACATCGCGATTTTGGGAAGTACATTTACAGCTGCAAATGCAAGAAACAATGGAATAGCATACGGTCCGGTACGACAAAATTTCTACATAACTACTTTCAGCGTAACTCTGTGAGAACGCTACCAACTAAAAATACTCAAAAAAATATCAGTATCATTCATGATAATTAAAATAATTTTTCTCCGACAATTATTTAGAAATATATAATAATTGTAACATGACTCAGCGAAAGATCAACAAAAAAAATTATTATTTTCTTTATGTACCTTCACGCGGATCTCGCATCGGGCAAAAAGTTCAAAATGATTTCAGGGGATCAGTTTCCAGTGTGTTTTGTCGTTTATAAAGTAATTAGTTATCTTCAGAACAAAAAGAGAAACTAACGTCTTTCTCTCGACGATAATATTGTTTTCACTGCTGTATCCTGAATTTTTAGTAACATCAGAGAAAAAGTGCTGTAATTACTTTCTTAAATTCGATATGTAAATCACTGTCCCTTGGAATCATTTTTGCGAAATCTGAAATAATTTATTGCCTTGCGCATTTCATCACTTTATCATATTTATTTCCCACATAGGATTCTTTGAAAGAAACCGGTTATCAAACTTAATTTGACGAAAATCACCCCCTGTATTTCGACATGATTTGTTTCCTTGTAAACAACAGGCATGTCGTGACCATTTTCTCTTTTTTTTTTAAGGGTTTTTCTTGGCAACAGTCCATTGAAGTTGCCGACTACTCCGGTTGAAAATAGCGTTTTATCTCCATCTACTATCTGTAATTTTTCTAGTATTAAACATTATGTGTTATTTCCATTATCTCAATTAACTATTTGGAAACTCACGTAGAAGCTACAACAGACTCTAAATTCACTTACATCTTCACGATTTTATTACAATTTTCTAGTTTTTCGCGGTAATTTTTCTTGAAATAAGCGTGATTTAAATCTCATTTTGACTGGATTTCGTTTCGGCGGTTTAATTTTTTAAATTGCTTTTTCTATCTCAGTCATATCTTGGCCTTTAAAACCGTCTGGAAATTATTAAGATCTACGTAGTTTACACTGACAAATATCGAGTTGCAATATAAACTGGATGTGTTTTGCCTATAACATCTGAAAGGTCATCGTTGGTAAAAACCACGTCATAATGACTTTGTCACTTCTTTAATGGATTGGAAACACATTCAGTACCGAGTTTGGCTCAAAATTAGCAACAATGTTGAAATATTGGCGAGCTTATAAGATTTTCTCTCTGACAGTCATGAAATAAGGACAAATCGTTTATCATGGTATGTAATGGTTTTTTCGTTCTAATTGCGGACGTCTGTTACAAATTAATGCTTATGTATTCTCTCCTTCGCGCTTTCATATACTACGCTAAAGTTACCCGGAACATAGCTGCTGCTAAAATTTATGAATATCGCCGGTTCAAAAGGGGGAAAAAAGAAAATAGAGGGTTTCTGCGAAAACTATACTAGAATTTATTATCAATTAATGGATTGTAAACTGTAAACTGCTGGCATATTGTTTGTGTTGTGAAACAGAAGTCTACGTATGTGACAGAAAGTTACAAAATTGTCATTCTTCTTCTGTTTTCCTGTTAAGTACCTGCGGTGTTTATGGCTCATTTTAAAAGCTTACTTAGAGAAAACCATCGAACAAAAAGATGATTTTTGACATGTGGTTCACTGAATATTTAGACGTCTTCTCTGTGGCAGAAAGTAGCAACTATAGATTTCTTAGAAGTAAAAAAAATATCCGCGTATTCATGTGAGTTGCTCGAGGAGAAATTCTGACGATCTGATGCGTAGAATCGAAAAGTTTCCTAGAATAATCGACTCCATAACAACATTTAATTTCTCCCAAGGTGGACGACCTCTTAAAAATGTAATTAATGTAAATGAAATTATCACATTTGGTGAATTTTCTAAAAACTCGTTTACTTCGTCAATCGGCTTTCAAAACATCTTTATCGAGCAAGGCATCTGCAAGAAATATGATTTATTTATCATATTTATTTACTGAAACTCGTGGCATGTCCATTTACAGGATAAAAATTTTCTGATAGAAATGTAATGGCGTCGTTTACAGAAATTACGCGCTTTATCAAGCAATCCAAGAGTGCCATAAGTGTCTGCTCGTTCGATTGAAAGATTGCTTTGGTACAAATTAAGTTGATTTGAAGAAACTGTGACTATACCGTTGGAAAATGTCCAATTTGGCATATTTTCCGAACAGAAATCGAACGCTGACCTCTGTAGGAGTTGACAAATTCAGTAAAAACGTTGCAGTTCAAAGCAGCGACTGCAAAACAAGTATGTCAATAAATAGAAAAACCGTTGCAATAAAAACAACCGGCAGACAAAGGATCATAGCTGACCATGTGACAATTAACGTAAAGGTTGTGTTTTACAACAGCAACCGTCGTTAGTTTAACAAGGTGCCAAAATATTAACGTATGCATTTTGATACAACAACTTACTGTGTGGCTGTCTACCAAACTTGCTGTCTGGCAGACTAGCTTATTTATCTTTATTATTATTATTATTATTGTTGTTATTATTATTATTATTATTATTATTATTATTGTTTACGTTATCAACTCAGTTGATAATACTAAATTACCCAATTAGCTTATTTACTGACTGACTGACGTACTGGCTGACTGACTGTCTGGCTGACTGACTGTCTGGCTGACTGACTGTCTGGCTGACTGACTGTCTGGCTGACTGACTGAATGACTACCTGCCTAAATGAATGAGTTCATGACTGACCGACAGACAGACTGAGCGACTGACTGCTTGTCTGGCTGATTTTCTAATGGACTGTCTGACTGACTGAGTGACCGTTTGACTTACTGTCTGATTGATTGATTGACAACTAATTGGCATCACTAGGTACTGCATACCTTGTGCCATGTTTTTGTCTACCAACCCAAATAAACATAGATATTGATTTCTTCTTCAGAGTCATCACACGGACTTTCTCCCGTTGCTGTTGACCGTAGTGGTCTGGGTCTCAGTCATGGCTCTGGGAGTCTTGTCTGTGTTATGCTGGAAGCGGTTCAGGAACCTCTCTTTCATGGAACAGTTTCTGGACTACAGACAGGTCCCAACAGCAACTGAAGCCAACGAAAATACTCAAGAAATAAGGAATGGACACGCCACAGAGGTCAAGGAAACACTTGATGAAGAAGAAAACCACGAGAAAGGTTGGGCTCTTGATATTATTTTAATTTGTTATTATTTAGTTGTGCGACTAACAACAGCAATAGATGCAATACTAGATATATTTTTTTGTGACAATCAGGTTGTAAATCGATTACAGAACGTCTTACGGGAACAATGTGTCGGTTTCTTGCGATCATGAAGTGTGCAGGATTGCCTGGCCAACTAGTAGCCTGGTTGCTTGGCTGACTCGAGGGCTCTCCAACTGTCTGATTGACTGACTCATTTATAGACTGGTTTACTTGCTAACTGACTGATTAACTGACTGATTGAATGAATGTCTCTCTATTTGGCAGTCTGACTGTTTAGCTGTCTGATTACCTGTCTGTCTCTCTATTGTCTGTCTGGATGTCTCACTGCTTGTCTGTCTGATTAACTGACTGACTGATTGTCTCACTGTCTGCATGTCTGTCCTACTAATGGAGTGTTTGCCTGTCTGTCTGACTCATCGACTATCTGTCTGCCTGACTGTCTGTCCGTCTGAATTTCTGTCTGTCTGTTTGACTAACTGACGAAGAAACTGACGAAGAGCTGACGCTCGAAACGTCAGCTTTTAAGCTCTTTATGGTAGCCAATTCACATTATTAACACAGTTGATAAAACTTATCTTCACTAGTTGACCGTCTAACTTTCCGGCTGTCTAATGGCCTGACTGTTTGAATGACAGACTAGCAATGAGTCGCACGGACGCACGGACGGACAGACCGAACTACAGTTAGTACGTGGCTGACCACTCGACTGACTGATTGACTGACAGAATGATAGATTGATTGATCACTTAATTGATCCCACACTAATTCATTAATTGATTGTGCAAACAGATTCCTTAGGTATTCAATTGTATGGCATTTTCCTCTTTCTCTCAGATACCTCTGAGAAGAAGCAGAAGCCACCTCCTCGCCAGTTTCCTTCCCAGCCCCCTCCTCCTTGGATCCCTAAACCTGAAGTTAGTGTGGTATCTGTTCAGCCCCAGGACTCCTCAATTAAAGATGACGATGAAATTCCTTATTCTAGTTCAGATGAAGAACCAATGCCGGTAATAACGTTAATTCAGTTTTTTTTTATCGTACACTTTTCCAACTTTAGTCTACTCCGTTTTTAATGCACTGAGGTTGAGTGTCGTAAGATCAAAATAATCCCATCGGCCAATCAGAGGAAACGAATCCAAAAGCGCGGGAAAACGGAAGTGTCTAAGCCGCGCTTGGTTCTGGCTTTGCATCTGATTGGTTGAGAGGGTGGCGGGAGTTTTATAAACCAATCACAGAGCGAAGTAAAGCGTGGCCAATTCATTCCCAGATTGCTTTCGACACTCACTCGAAGATTGCTCTAGAAACCGCTTAAATCATTTCTAAGGTTAACGATTTTATTTGTTAAAACAGTTGAATTATACTTTCTCTCCAGTCCCCAGCAACTCGGGAAACTATGACGCCCTACGATCTATCAGACTCAGGTCCCGTAGAGCGCTTTATTCCTCCGAGCGAGGCAGATTTCCTTGGTCGAGTGTATTTTTCGCTGCAGTTTGACTCCAATAGGTAAGCAATGTCTCGTCCATCATGATCACACTTGTGTTGCTTCCAGCTGGACTATCGTCAATCACGATTGAATCGAGCTCGTTAGATTCCTAGCTGATTTCCTTACTACTGGCCAATCAGAGAACAGGACTGGAATCGTCAAGTCCTCTGTCGACAAAGTTTGCTCCACATTCAAACATATCTCTGCGTTTTTGAAATTACCTCCAAGAACATTTACTACTTTTTCCAGAGCTAGAAAACCTTTCAAATCGAAATTCCACGTAAGTAGATTTCAATCTATAAGAGCAAATTATGACAGCACCAAGATCAGTTGGTATGAAAAATGGAGCTAAATTCCTAAGAATATGTTGTCATTTCCGGTGACCAGTCGGTAATTATCGTTTGCGAACTGTTACTTCCTGTAAAAATCGATTCCATGCAGTTGCAAACAAACTCCACGAGTTTTAATCTTGTTCGTTGTGTAGTGGTGAAAATGATATCAATATGCGCGCGAAAGTAGAGACACTTGTTTCCATCCCCATGACGTCTTTTTGTTCTTTAATTTTCAGGAATGTCTTGATTGTAAAGTTGATCAAAGGAGAGGAATTTCCACAATACGCTGGAGACTCTCCAAATGTCTTCCTTGAACTTAAACTAGTTCCAGCCATGAAGAAAGAAATTCTGAAAACTGACATTCACGAAAGAAATTCGAATCCTAACTTTAACGAAATCTTCGAGTTTGGTTTACCTTACGACCTGGTGAAACAGCAGAACCTTAGTTTCACAGTAATGTACATGGACAAATTTTCACACCCCTTCCCTGTGGGGGAGGTGACGCATCACCTGGATCACTTAGAGAGGGTGGGTGGCGAAACAGTTCGAGAAGAGATGATCGTGTGTAGGGAAATACAAAGATTACAACAGGTATGACGAATAGTTAAGATTTCAGACATACCAACCGCTTTAAAAGGAGCTGATCTGAAGACCCGTAAAAAAATTGGAGACTCGACAGCAAATAGCGAGATTTTATATTTCCCCGACCAAAGTTAAACGAATCCTTTTTTCTGTTTTTTTTTTTTGGGGGGGGGGGGGTTAGTAAGTATTTATTTAATTGTTCTTTGCTTTTCTTGTATTACTTGTGGTAAGAAGATCCAGCCTTCTCTGATGATTCGAGCAGGTCATCTCGAAACCTATGGCAAACCATCTTTTCTTTTGGATAAGACAGACTTCTGGTCAAAATAATTTTCTCCTCAAAAACTGTCAGATTGATAGTCTTGTCATGAAGCTGTCAGAAAAGATTTAAGAAAAATTGTGATACTCACGGCAGCACAAATATAAAAATGTCAGGTTATTCAACCTCTTTTTGATGATGAATTTTCATAACCATTGTGGCATCAGCATACAGTAGTATACAATAACGACCAATACTTTGCATGTCTAACAAATTTTTTCTTGGTGTCCGCCACAGATCAAAGATCAGCCACGTGACTTGGGCTTTGGTCAGGTGTTATTCTCGCTTATGTTTATGCCGCTGACCAGACGATTAACGATTGTTATTTTCAAGGCACAGCATCTAAAGCCCGCCAAGGAGGGTTTCCCAGGTCAGAAGAACTTCGCTACATTGTTCAGCTGAGAGATTTACTTTAATATCAACTGATTTACAATTTCATTATTTCAAATAAAAAGGGGGGGGGGAGGGGGGCTGTTGAATGAAAGCGTTACTTTCTCTTGTTTCTTGTGGAGTCCCTGTCTCAAGATGTATTTTGTGTTATAGCAAAAAAAAAAGGCATTAACTTTAGCGTTGCACTCAGTGAAGGTATTCTTTCCTTTTTCTTTTTCAGCCATTTATGCTGAAGTTGTAATGATTAACGTCAAAAAGAGACAACGGAAGCGAAAAACAACAACTCTACGAACAGGAAGCTTATTTCCGGTTTATAACGAAGCTTTAGCATTTGATGTGGCGGATGCTAACCTAGAAGACATTCGTTTGCAAGTTTTTGTTAAACAGGAATTGGAAAGTTCTCCTGATCAAGTTGTTGGCCGCGTGGTCCTGGGAACTAACGCAGAGGGCTTGGAACTGCAGCACTGGAAAGAGGCTATGACGTCAAAGAAACCAATTGCTCAGTGGCATAGTTTACGGGAATATCACCCGGCAGATCAGGCAATAACTGGCGTCTTATCACCTACTCATAAGTCTGTTATATCCAAAAAAAAACTTGCCAGGTTCTTCTCTACATCATCGGAGGATGAGGGATGAAAACTTTTCATTGAAAAAGATATATACAAGTCTGTTGTATTTCCTGGGAATGAGCCTCATGTGCCCGTCGCTATCTGTTTCCCAGGCAACAGCAAAGTGTAAGGATGAAGACGTTGATGACTACGGTACTGTTACTCGTTCACTCGTACCCAGATCACAATGTTGCTCTTACTCTGCCGATGCCTGAAGAAATAGACTGGAGCGCAGAGTGAACACAAATTGACTTTCATGTTAAAATCATGGCTCTATTCGCGTCTAAGTTTTCTTAGTTCCAAAATCCAAAGCACATGGGAATGTAAAAAGAAAAAAAAAAGAAAAGAAAATGCCCATGGTCTTGAATATTTTTTTCTTCTTCAACACAACCAAGTCTGTTCGTTTAAAAAGTTGAAACCTCCAGGAAATGTCTGTACGATTCCAAGGTGTATTTAGTTCGCCACAATCTCAAGCATATTTGCAGTGCAGTTTGAGGTTATAAATGTTCATTGAAATGAGTATTTGATAACTTAAAAAACTGAACTTGAGGCTAAAACCACGAGGCTTAGGCAGTTCGTGATCTTGATTCCACAGACGCGTTGGGAAAATTCGACGCAGTGCACAGCAACCTTAGCTATTGTGCGTCTAACATTGAGCAAACAAAAACATTAGTTTGAACTCGAAGGATGATAAACTATTCCTTACTAATTAGTAAATGTGATGTCTCTCAGTCGAGAGAAGCTTGCGCCAAAACAAAACTGCAGGCGAATCTTTTTCCCTGTTGTTTGATGGCCAAGTGGAGTTGTAAATATACAAAACTAAAAGTCAGTTATAAACGATTATTATTTTTTGTGCACGTTTGTCAATTTATTTCCTCTATTTTGAGTCGGTGATTGGGTTTCTTAGGTAGTTTTGAAAGTTTATTTCAAAACACAGCTCTTACCTCCCATGAAATGTAGTTTTGCTATCATAAAATTGCTCTTTTTCCCAACTTTCTCCCTTTCCTGATCATTTAAAATTTTCACCAAATTTACCGAGCCTAGAATTTCATAAGGGAAAGTAGAATTAACACAGTAACATTTGGTGAATTGGATTCTGAAATGGCGAAGAAGCCTGTTTTAAAATAGTTTTAAAACAAATTTTTCTCAAAATTACGAAAAGAAAAGAGTATTTCAACGAATATAGGAGATTACCATGTCCCATTATCAGAAGAATATAAACTAGATTACATGCTTCTGAACAGAACAGCACGAACAGAGTAAATAAAAACTAACAAACAAAAACTTATATGCATCTACAGTTTCTGCTGTTAAAATCTCTTATCGAGGACCGCAAAAATCACGTCAGGGTGCGCTTTTTAAAGTAATTTCTTGAAGATATTGAAGCCAGTGTTGGTGTTTTCGGCTGCACACGATGATTTACTGCAACAGCTACAGTTACGCGGGTAAAACCTGTTATTGTAGAAGGTTAACCATGCGCTGTTGGTGCTGTAGGGATATTTGAAGCCCACCACATCACCATATTGCACAGGGCTACCATCCTCTGCGTTCTTGGAGAAGATCTGGAAAGTGGCCTGGGAATACTTGAGCCACTCACTTCCGGTCATAGAACTGGTAAGACTACAATTGCGAAAAAGGGACTTAATTTTCTTTTAAATAAATAAACCGGAAATTGCCATTGTCCAAAAAAGGTAACAAAACCTATGTCAAACGCATCCAACTTGGGTACATTATCTTTTGGTTTCATTTCTTCCTTGATTCAAACTTTACATCAACTAGTTTAATTTTTTTTCGTTTCAATACCAAACGTCTTAGCAAATATTTTAATACATGAATACAAAGGGAAAAAAAGTTATCTTTAACCAAAAGTACATTTCAACAACAGATTATTCTCATAAGGAGGTGCCTCAAAATATTAAATTGGTATCAGAGAAACAAATAAAATTATTTCACAGAACCAGTGTTGAAATAAAACACTGACAATCGAGGAATAAGAAGGGATCAACGGAGTATTTGAAAAAATTGTGTACTTACGATTGCACACGGCACTTAGTGTTGTTAGAAGCAGTGCAAGATAAGCGGTAACTGCTCCCGTAGCGGTTCGAGCTAAGTGACACGGTATCTCCGCTGTCAATTGGCTGTCCGTTCATCTTTCCCTTTGCAGTAATGGTAAACACCCCCAGTCGCCAATGGTTACAAGAAGGCCACAATTTAGAGCTAGCAATAGCGAGTCCACGGCAGGTATAAATGATGCAGAAGTATGTCAGACAACCGAACCATCTTTTTGACCAATAGCCAGAAGTGAAGGCCAACCTCAAAGCAATATTATCCCCACTGTTAATAATGGGATAACGGTGAACTTGGAGAGAAAGCACAGGGAATTAATAAACGTTTAATTGAGTGAATGTAAGTGTTGATTATCCTGACAACACGAAGAACATGATAAACGTTATGTATGCTCGAGTAATTTTATTGTCATTAGAACTGGCTGAACTCAATAGGGAAGCTCTCAAACAAATTCTTTACCTTGACCTGCTCTAGTCAATCTCATTTTCGTCATTTCAGAGATGCATTTTTTTTGTTAACAAACCGTGCAAATGTGGTTATACTCGACTGAAAAAGTCAGGGTATACTTCATTCGACTCTACACAACCATTATTTTCTAGCCATTCCCGCCACAAGTAAAACTCTATTGGGACAAGAGAAACGTAGAATCAAGTTTGGCAGTTTTACCTTTAGATAGACTGTTCCAAATATTTTCCACGGGAACCTTGACGCTGGCCGTCGCATTGACGTTTAGTGACTTGTTTGTAACCCCGACACTGGAAAAGGACGAAGAATCCACGTCAAAAGTCATGCTAAACACAATGAAACTAACGAAAACAAACTTCATCTTGGATAGCGATTTTTAGCAGATTGCTTTTCTCCCACGATAATACTATGCTCAATTTGAATTAAGTCAAACCTTAACTGTCTCACTTTGTGGATAAAGCTTGGCTTATAAAACTTATTAAATACCAACAGAACAATAGTAACAGCGAAACATGTTCTGCTTTCGATATACGTGTTCTTGCATCAGGACAACTCTCTTTTGTAATCGAAGTTCTTTGTAGACTAAACATTCACTGAATAAAGTAAACTTTACCTGAACGCAGTGCGGAAAAATTGATATGTACTGCTAGACTTTAGAAGTTCTGGCAGCAGTTATGGTTTAGGAATGAAATGTGTGAACAGACCCTTCTTGGCTACGTGCTTCAAGTCTGCCAAATCGTATCGTGTTTTGAGAACAAATTTCAACCTCCGCGTATTTGTTATGTGGCGAACCATATATATATGTGAATTTTCATATATCTAAATTCTTCACTCCGCGTATTTGTTATGTGGCGAACCATATATATGGCTCGGACCTTGATGTTTCTTACGATGCTTCGTTGAGTAGCTGATGAAACATATGCAAATTGTTTTTACAATGATTTGCAATACACTCAACGAGTGTTACTATCTATTTCATTCATGTTTCCTTTTTACTGACAGTATTAGTTCACAAATCAAGAAACGCTCAGTGCTAACTCATTTCACGGTAATTACGTCATTAGCCAAAAAATGGAACATTCGAGCAAACCTCCACATCAAATAAAAACAAAATGTTTATGGTTATGCGGAGTCGGTTTGCAATAAACTTGATAGAAACGTACTTATAGAAGATGTTATTTCAGAAAACTTTGGTTAATTTTGTTTGAAAAAGGGAATTTGATTTATAATGAATAATTCACCGAGGCATTTTTTTATACAAAAAGAGCAAAAATAACTATTTCTTGGATCAAAAACGTCAACGCAATTGCAAAAATTTCCTCATTTTCGGTTTCAATCGGTTTTACTGCGAGTTCTACTCCGATCAAAAGCGAAATATCTTTAACTAAAGCAATAATTTTCGAGTGATATAGCTTTTATTCACAGGAGGTGCAAAATCTTATTTTAATGAGTCAAAAGCTGACAAGCAAGAAACTGAAAGCTCTTTTACAGAGAAAATATTTGGGAAATATACATATAATCTCAGGAAGATAGATTTTAAAAGTAGCTATGGAAACTCTCTTAGTACTCTAGATTTCCCATGGGCAAACCATCACAGAATCAAACAAAATTTATATTTGTGTTGTCAGAGTAACCGTGTATAACCATGTGACGTCAGGAGCACTTTACAAAATGGCGGACGGGTACAGCTGAAGTTTCGAAGACGGTGCAAATAGGAAATTTGTTTGTGTATCAGCTGATTTCTGATACTTTCAGTGTCTAAAATGACGAATATAAGGTATGTCTAGTTATAGATAGGGTTGTGAACTGACCTCGTGAACGTGATTGTTTACAATATCGAAGAAGCCTTGCTCGATTCAATTTGCTGCACATATCAACACTCTACCAGTCTACCGAAGCAATGTTACTGAAATATAAATATATTTTTAAAATTACCAAAATATGAGGATAGGAATTTAAATAACAGAATAAACTGAATAAAAACAGAAACGATGTTTTATTCGGGGTAGCATTTTTCGTCAAAGTTTTCAGTTTAGCTGTGTGATATACATTCAAGTTAAATTAGACCTTAATTGACTAGTGTCTTAAACTAGTACAGATTAACTTGTAAAGACGACAGTGTCACATTTAAATACAGTTATAAACACGTTAAAGCTTACTTTTGCTTTCTTTATTATCTTGGTACTGGTTTAATTGTAAAATTTTTGCGATTACCCCGTTTTTAATGTCAACATGGTATAATACCTTGGTTTTATGCAAATATATCGCTTGCAAATACCCAAGAGACCAGATTATCAATCTATAGAGGCTGTCTGAAATGTTTGATCCCCCATAACCTGCACTTTAAGAGTGTGCATCAGTCCTTTGTAGCTCCTTGATATTTTTTATCCATGTGCAAAATTTACTCAGATTTGCTAAAGATCATCTAGAATTTTGTCATTAAGATCCTGACAGTTTTAGGACTCGTAATACAGAGCACAATAGGACTGTTTGTACATTTGAAATAAACTGTGACAAGCATTTTCCAGTCCTGTCACACTCAAGATGTTTTCTTCCAGACCTTTTATGTGTCTTGCAAAAGCAGCATCTCAAATAAATCATGGCCTTATATGGTTAAGGAGTTGATTGTGACATTAAAACACATTTGAGTCTGATTCATTCTGTAAAAATATGAGTCATTAACAACTATGATTTGTTAATCACAAGCATGACTAAAGACAGAATTGGAAATCATTAAGTTTTGTCAGCATCAGTCAAAACGGTGACAAAATTTGACTAACAAAATACTCATCAGATAAACATATTCATAAACATTTTTTCCATGAGAAAATAAAAACGTTAGTCTTATAATGAGCATGGGACAAAGAAAAAATTCTGAGTCCCCATGAAGAGTCGAACCTCAGACCTTCAGATTCCACGCTCCAATGCTCTACCACTGAAAGCACAGAGACTCTATGGTGGGCAAGGCCCATTACAAATGGAATTAAAGAGCGTCTTTGGTTGACAATCATATACTTTATTCCTGTGACCTAAATGTTTGATTTAGGGGTGATGTTGTAAGGAGTAATGAGAAACTAGTCACTCTTTGGGGTTAAAGGGTCACATTAAATGGTAAATGTTACAAGATGCTTTAATTGGTCATTCCTAACATTTTGCCTTTATTTAAAATTTTCATTTTAATATGGTATAGATTCCTGTTAGTGTTAGAAATAATTTTGGTTTCCAAAAATTAATTAAAGGTGGAAACCATTATCATCAATAACATTCACCTTTTACGCACAGTTTCATATTCTATGAAAATTACTTAAGAACACGTTTTAATGTAGCTCAGGGTAGAAACAGATGGATGTTATATTTCTTCAAAGCTTTTCCTGGTTCTGGTAAATTTGATTGGGACTTTATGACATCTAGATAATTTGTGGATGATAATATATTTTTTCATCATTGAATATTGCATATAACCTCTATTTACGTACATGTATGTTGGTTGTCATAATGATAATAACTTTCTTTTGCCTTTTTTTCACAGAATGGTTCCTTATTTATCAGCTGGTTCAGAATTTTGATTTAGAATATGTTGGGTTTAAAGACCAACAAAGTTCAATCTATCAGCTCTGTGAGTTTAGCTGGACTTCCCAAAGATGTGCGGATCCCTACTAGTGGCAATCACCGCCGTACATCAAAAGGATCATTGTCTGGTTCACTGGCAGGATTTGAACAATTGGAGGTATGTATAAAGACCTTCTTATTTTTCAGATGTGAAATATTATTGAGATATTAAGCTTAGTTTTGTATTTAAAGGTGGTGAAATGTTTTGCTTTTTGTCAAGTGCAATTTAATGAATCATACATGCATATAGCTATGCCCCCAAAACTGAATGAATAAAAACATAAATTATCCTTTTCTTAATGTAAATTTTTGACAAATGGACAAAATTGAATCACAGTAGATTGCATATTTTTACATTGACCTAAAAATACAGAGTTCTTTAATAAATGCTTGCTCTGAAACACCGTCTTACCCTCCCTAATAATTTGATTCTTGCGATGAAAAGGCTCATTTTGGATCATTTTCATATACCTGCTTTTAAAGCTAAAGGAGTGGTATTTTGTGTTTTGTCTTTAATATTTGATTAAAGTAAGGTTGTCTGAACAGTGAATTCATGTAAAATTACACAGTTACCACTAATATTTATTCTAATCAGTGTATGTAAAGTTCTGCCTATATTTATCTGGTATCTTACTTTGATTCCTTGGAATAATTGCTGTTAAATCAAAACAGATGTCTTGAAAATGATAATCTTTACCTATGATTAATTGTTAAATTCAGTAACTTCATAAACATTGTTTAATGTCATTGGGAAATAGAGAGAAACACTTAAGCAAAAAAAAGTTAAAAATTAAAAATTTAAATTTTGAAAATTACCCTTTGAAGAAGCTTTATACATGAACACTAACCAAGTACTGCATTTTAATCCATTAATTGAAAAGGGTCGATCATTTGATCATTTTCAGTTTTTATCAGCAAGTGGTAGTAGAAACTTCTCATCTTCCTATTTAAAAGTAGGTATATTATGCTTGGTTTAACTCTTGAGACTTGATAACTAATACACATTAGCCAGGTATTACTTTTGTTAAATTAAAAAATTTAAACTATATTGTTTAACCTCCTAACCCCAAGGATCAACTACCATCTAATTTCTCCCTACATTAAGGAAAATGATCTCTACTGAAAGAAGCTCTTGATTGTTAAACAAATTCTCCTTGTCAGCACCTTAGGAAATGTATAGAGAACAGTATGGAGAATATGCTTACTGATGTTAGGATGGAAAAGCTGTGGCTACTTGTGTATAATTGTATTGTTTCTTTATTTTAAAATCTTATCAAACAGTTATTCCAGGAGTGCACGTTGGATATGAATTACAATGTACAAAAAAAAATTCCCTGGGTAAAAAACACTTTTGAGTACTTTTGTACAGAGTTTCAGTTTCTTTCTGTAAGGAAAAGATTTAGTTTAAACATAATGAGAAGAGACCAGTACCATCAGCATTCAGCTGCATTTTGCCCAAATAAATCATGAAAATTGTAAATAATTGTAATGATTTCAATGAGCAAATAAATATTTAAAAATTACAGGGTGATAAACAATTTATGCATAAATAAGTATCTTTCTGATAAAATAAGTGAAATGCTAGGTCTTTGAGCTGTTGATGCCAAGTGAGGTGCGTCTGAGTTATTTAACAGCTGTCTTCACAAATGACAAAGCATTGGTTGAAAAAAGATATTAAACCAATCTAAGACAATTAAAAAGTTTACCACATCCAATTAATTTGCATAATTTTGTTTATAACAGAAATGGGGAATATTGCATAATTCATTTCTGTGGCACTTCCATGAAAAGTTGATTATCAATCTTTTTTGATAGCAGTCACTTTTGACTGACCCAAGCCATTGGGATACAATGAATGAATAATGGTTTTCATCTGGAATTCTGTAGAAAAACATTGCTAGTAATGACAAAATGAAGCATAAAACTACAGTTAATAATATGCAATGATAATACGATGTTAAGGATTCAAAGGAAGTCAACAAAATAGAAATATACTTGAAAAATAGGTATAAAAAAGAATACAGTTATTCTGTGCAATAATATGCATTTGATATATTTGTATGTTATAGTTTGAAGTGATCTTCAGCTGGTGGGAGCTTTCTCTTTTTTGCACTTTAGGGTGAGACAAAAATATTTGAAGCAAAGAAAATATAAAGTGAAATGAATAGGTCATCAAGTGAAGAGTTTGTAAGAAAAGACAAACCTACCAGTAGGAGGTGTTGTTTTGAATGATACAAAATTAAATTCTCTCAACTTAATTGTATGGAAACTTACATCACTGAAAGGGAGAATTCCAAATGAGATGTTAAGAGTTCAATAGTTGACACTGAATCTAATTCTAGCTGTGCTGTATTATGAGTCAGAATACCATTGCTACTTTTCAACTAGAGATTCAGAAAACCCTTTAATCCCTGAAGTGACCAGCATCTAATTTCTCCTTTCAATATCACCCCTGAATAAAACATTAAGGTCATGAGAATAAAGGAAATGATAATCAACTGAAGAACCCTGTTGATTGTTAAACAAATTCTCCTTGCCAGTACATTAGGAAATGTATAGAGAACAGTATGGAGAATATGCATACTGATGTTAGGGTGTAGAGGGTTAATGAAATTTTTGTTGGAGAATGAATTGCCATGATCAATGAATTAACCATGAAAAACATTTTGAGATTGACTTACAATAAAATAACTTAAATTTAGTTCAAAGAGATCAGGTTAAAAAAACTTTGAAAAGAACTCAATAAGGATAGCAATTTTATGTTTTGTGGTTTGTATTGTTCTGAGTTTTTATACTGACTTTGTGAAAACAAGCTTTTGATATTTAACACCCAAAGAGCAGATGATAAAATTAAAAGACTTGGATCTTTATATTTTCTTCTAGATCAACAGATCTCTTTTTTAGTGTATTTTCATAACAGGAGAAAAGTTCATAATGTTTGATATTTATTTGTTTTGTGACTGGCACCAAGGTACATCTCCCACTGGTTATTTCTACATGAGGTTTTTAATAAGTCAAAATTTTTTGCTTTGAAATGCAAATTCAAAAAGTTCCTCTTGAATATTTATCTCAAGTCAATGTTCAGGTCTTTTTTCATGCTTAACAAGTCTTTAACTAAAGCACAGATTTTCAACCATTGTGAAGATTTTATTTAAGTTGGTTAAAGTTATGGGAACACGTCCTTCATGTTTCAGGACGAACAAATTGGGTGACAACAAATTTTTGCACAGAATGTGTTATTATTATTTGGTATTTTTTGTTAAAGCTGTGAAGTAGCTTTGTGTTTTCAACATGAAAGAGTCATTTTCAACTCTCTATGAGCTTGACAAACGTGGAAGTATAGTTTCTCTGAAGACGTTCAGTCGAGTCTCAGTAAGTGGATTTGTTAATACTGTATGTTTATACTAAATTATGTAAAGCTAGATATTCTTGAGCGGTTGAAATGATTTTGAAACTTGTTTGAAAAGTTTAAGCACAAACAATGATATTGTTAAGTGCATTCAAAATCATACATGTAGATCAGAAAATACATCATTTTATTTTTCCAACTCTTGATAGATAGACTTAGGTAACCAGTCATTGTGCAACTTCAGACCATGTAATAATTTGAGAATCATTTTTATCACCCTAATGATGAATTTTTGAAATAAGTTTTTGGCTTTTAGTTTCCAGTTCTTCTTTAGAGCTTTTTAGAATGTGACACACTTAATTCACATTTCACATTTTACTCTTGCAAATTTTGACAAATTTTCAGTTACAGCATAAACTAAAAGAAATTTCATCATTTTGAAATTATACAATTTACTTGACTGTAAAATTCTCTCAGTTGTCACTTCAGTGAATTAGTTTATAACATATGGGTTGAAATTCTCATAGTCCTTTTGCACTTGTAAAGTTTCTGGCCTCATTGTCAGCCCTAATTGTTTGCAGAACAATCTATTGAAGTTATGTGAAGTCATGCACATGTTATTTACCTCTGGAAGTTGAGGAATAAAAAAGCTACAAAAGTTATTTTTAATTTTTAAAGAGACATTGCCTTTGTGATATCTGTTACAGACATAATTGCAACCTCCTTGCATCTTCAGACCATAGATGGGTCACTAAACTGAGGCTTGGGTTGAAAATTTAGCTAGCAATTTTTTTAAACCTACCAAAATGGGTGACTGAAATGGTCACAGCCAAGAGTGCTGAAGATGGATGATGTACATGAGACCACCATGAAACAAGACATTTGTAGGAAAATTTCCAGCATTGAAACCAAAAGCAACATTTCTTATCAGTACATGCTGCTTTTTTGACATTTCCAATCTTTTTAAATTTTTGTAGAAAAGCAAGAAGTCATGGATTGCTGGACATTTTCGAGGTCGGGAGTGCATCAAAATTGTGAAAGATGCAAAGAAGACTCGCTCAGAAGAGTATGTACATGAACCTTTGTAGAAATGTGATTTTTTTTACTTTTGTATATGTAAGATTTGAGGTCTTTTGCATAACTCCAACCTGAATAATGGAGTGCTGATGTAAATGATAATGGTTATAATTGTATGTAAAATTCAACTTTCATAAATATTTTATCTCTAACTATCTCGCATAAATATTTTATCTCAAACTATCTTGAGAAAGAGAGGGATATCTGCTGGTTTACTGGCGTCTACCAAGAGTAAAACAGTTATGAATGAAACAGAAAGTAAGTCTCACTGTTACTCAATATACCTTTTTTCCATGTTAGGAATCCAATGTGTATGTGTGGTAGAACTAAGAATCAACATGATTTAAATGTGGCCAGAGAGGACACTGGTGATCAATGGACCCCAGAAAGGTGCACACGGCAGATGCAAACTGATGCATATGGGGAGATTGACTTCCTTGGTACAGGCAGTCAGAATAAACGCTCTCCAGTAAGTTGCTGCAGACCATGATTGATACTGTATTTATCGTAGTGTCTTGTGAGAGGTACGGCTGTTAGTGAAGGGGGTGAAGGGGGGGGAGGGTATGGGTTTCATTGGCGTTTTCAGCTGGAGGGCAACTGGTTTTCACAGGCAGGCAAAACTTTTTGAAGTGAACTTCTTTGTAGGATAAACTTTTCTGTAGATGGTCAAACCAGGTGAAAAAAAAACCGTCCTCACAACTGGTCAATTTACCCAGTGCCTGGCCCTTAATGAAACCCCTGGGGGGGGGGCATTTAAACACCTTATGTTTATCAGGGAGGAATGGTAAAGTAGTGGAAGGCAGTCGTGTATGGCACATGTGTATGAAAGTGAGAGACTTTCTCCTATATCCTTTACCAAAATACGCGAAAGTAATCCCAAGTCTCCTTTCTTATACCCATAGTATGTCCGCGTGTCACACGACACTGATGTTCAGCTCATCCTAAAGTTGATGCTTGAAAGATGGAATCTTGAAATTCCCAATCTGGTTATTTCTGTGACGGGGGGTGCCAAGAGTTTTGTTCTCAAACCCAGATTGAAAGAAGTGTTCAGAAGAGGTCTGATTAAAGCAGCTAAGTCGACGAGTGCCTGGATTATAACAGGTTTGTGCCTTTTTCAGTACATACTCACTGTGTATAATTTCCAAACAGTGCCATTGACTGAGTAAAACTAAGAGAATCACGAAGGCCAATTGGAGCAAAGGAAAATGCTACGAGGAGCCGATGAGAATTCAAAGCAGCCTAAAGCGCGGGAAAAGTTCAGTGGGTTAGTTTTGTTTGCAGCTGATTGGTTTAAAGACTGTTGCGACTTCTCTAAACCAATCAGGGAGCGTAATGAAGTGAAACTCAGTATTACCAATTGATTTCCCGCGCTCAAGGTCGTTTTCTTGTGTTTACGTTCAGATTGGTCGCTGTGAGTACTTTGTTAATACACAATCGAAAAGTGCTCTTTCTAAGATTGTGAGATTTGAGGCGATTTTCCTTTTTTTTCTCCTAAGGTGGAACCAATGCTGGTGTTATGAAGCATGTGGGTGAAGCCGTGAGAGAACAGGAAATCACATTTGGTAGTGAGGATAAAGTTAATGTTATTGGCATCGCTACTTGGGGCATTGTGGACAGAAAGGATTCTTTAAAAGCGTCTAAGGTAAACACGCTTAGTTTCAAAGGTCACAAGTCTCTGATTATTTTTGACTTATGAAAGGATAGTTTATTTTTATAAATATATAATAACTGCGAGCGTAAAGCGAAAGCCGCGTCGTTCATTTCCCGCCAAAAGTAGCAGTCTTCCTTTCCCGCCAAAATTCGCACTTTTATTTCCCGCCAAAACTGTCGTTGCCCAAGTAATGAAGGCAGTTGTAGTGTCTAAGTTTCTCTTTTCCCGCCAACTAATTGCTGCTATATGGAATGCTCTTATGTTGTTCACTGTGAAGGAACATTGCCGTCCCTTAAGCCACTCAACAAAACTCAAGTTAAGTGGCCTCAGAACTCCTATACCTAGGCGCTAATTCCCAAGCGGATTCTGTTTCTCGGTAATTTTAGCCCGTCGGAATCTGGAACCCTGCCGGTACCTCGAACCCCGCGAGTACCTTGTCTCTGGTCTTCCGAAAGCTCCGTATAGTCACTATGCAGAATGAAGCTATCAGCGGTCGCAATTATTCTCTTGTTTTCTTTATGTAGGACACAAATGGTCTGTATCCGGCCCACTACCGCATGGAACAGGTCCCAGGCTCCAGTGGGGCTTTGCTGGATTCAAATCACTCGCACTTCCTGTTGGTGGATAACGGAACAGAAGGAAAGTACGGTGTGGAGATTAACTTGCGCTCAAGATTTGAGGAAGCTGTAATGAAGGTCAAAACTGACTCTAGGTCTGCTGCAGGTTGGTTCAAATGTCGACCATGCTAAAATCAATTGGTTTGAATGTGGCTGCTTAGGTTAGGTCTTATGTTGCCTCATTCTGCAATGGCTTGAAAAGCTCGCGTCACCTTCTCAACCAATCGAATGGAAGCAATCGCGACCTTGCAAGGCGCGTTTTCCCGCGCTTGGTGCCGTGACTTCTCACTGGTGCACAGTGTTTTTTAAGTTTGTTGTGATTGGTTGATTTACATTCCTTGGTTTCTCTGGTAGATTTGCCGGGTTTATTTGGAACCAAATGATAACCAGCTCCAAGTTGACTTGTTAGCTCAGTTGGTAGAGCACTGCACCGGTATCGCAGAGGTCATGGGTTCAAATCCCGTACAGGCCTGAATTTTTTTCAGGTCTTATTTTCACTACTGCTCCACTAGTGTTCATTACCGCGTAGATCGCTTTCATATTCACGTTTTTAACCGCAGTTCAGATATATGACTTTCATATATTCACAGTCGTTTAAAGTGAAACAAATTAGCATTTTTAAGGAAAAAAATCACATGTTAGCAGCGAATCAAAGAAAAAAAAAATGCAGGAAAGAAAAAACATTCGCTGTAGACACAAAAATAGATACAGTCTAAAAAATGGCGTCTGAATTTCACTTTTTTTACATGGTTAACAATCGGTTGTCGATCATTTGCAAGGTGCCATTGGTGTCCCTGTGGTCCTATTGGTTTTGGAGGGTGGACCAAACACTGTTCGTACCATGTGTGAGTTAATCAAAAAGAAAATCCCAGCTGTTGTAATTGATGGAAGTGGTCGTGCAGCAGATGTGGTGGCTTATGCCTACAGTCACACCACTAAAAGGTGAGAATTAATGACCAATTGTGCCTCAATTATTTCGTTTATGGTCCAAATAGAGTATTCAGGTAAATGTTTTCGTCAAGCGCCGTCGCATTTTTCCCGCGCATGGCACCAGTGACATGTTTACCCGCGCTTGGCGCCGGATGCGTGATTTCCCGCGTTTATCATGGGTTGTGTGGTTTGTGCAATTGCAGCGAATACATTTTTTTCCCGCGTAAAATGACATATTTTTCCGCGCTTGGTGCCTGCTGCGTAATTTACCGCTCTTAGCATGGACTTTGTATTTTAACGCGTTTAAGGAGCAAGGTAATTTTTTTCCCGATTATCGTAGTAGTAATTTGCTTCCTGCGCTCAACGTCATTTGCATGATTCCCCGCGTGTAATACGTAGCCCTTTTGCTTTTCTGCCTTTTGTTTATTTTTGTTTTGATCACTAATGTTAAGACAGTCTTCCTTGCGGTTTTTCGTTTCTTTTTTTTATCGTCAGTGACGGGAAATTTATCGTCGATCCTCAGTATGAAGGGAAAATACGAGCTAAGGTGGCGGACGTGTTTCAATTTAGGAAGGAGCAAGAAGTCGACGAACATTACAAGATGATCGAAGAAGTACTTGAAGACGATAAGATGGTATGTCCCTTATTCTTTTTTCAATTTTTTGGGTTACACTTAGTATTGCAGTCTTTTCTTGTTCACATTGTATTGGCGGAATCTATAAAAAATGTTCTATTTCCTTTTCCTCAATTAAATTTATGTACCATGGATGATGGCATGAATGATATGAATTTTCAGTTGAAAAATGTATGAAATATCATGGTCTCTGATCGTCTGGTAACGAGGTGGAAGTTTCCTGGATGTTTAAGTTTGCGCTGTGCTTAGTTTTGCCACAAAACCGTCCACAGAACTCCTTATCCAGGGCACCGACTCGAGAAACGTAGCCTTCAGTCCCGATTGAAAAATGAAATACTTCTCTGAACTTTCACTGGAGTTTCCACCGTAGTATATTAATTCTGTCACTCTCAAGATCTCATTAGCAAGTCTCCTTACTGTTTTCCATACAATTCTTATGATGTTTGTTCGGAGAATTTGGTATTGGATCAACTAGTAATCCTCTGATAGATATTTTCTTTATTCTCGTCACTTGTCTGCTTAATATTGTATTGATATTGTTAGGAGAAATTCTGTCTTGGTCACTTGTGGGAGTTAAAGGGTTCACACATTTGTTGTTTTTGTAGATCTCTATTTACCGAATGGATGACGAGACCAATATATCTCAAGACATTGATCTTGCAATTCTAAAAGCCCTCCTAAAAGGTATGATAATAATTTAGTGATATTTTGATCTCTCAATTACCTGTTTTGTTTTGTTTTTTTTCACGCTTTTGAAATTGTTCTTTTCTTTTTTTAATAGTAAGGTGGATCATTAAAAACTGACAAACAGAGAAGTTCTAGACAGGTGCCATTCAGTAGAGAGGTTGGATAGATCAGTTATTATTATCAGATCAGTTAATATTAGGTATAGAGAGAGAGGAAACAGAGATTTAAATAGAGAGGGAGATGCGTTACTGTATTAGTGAGTTAAAGCGTGGCTGTGGGACTCTTTACAAGAGATTGAATGTGTGTCGATGAGAAACATCTTGAGCTGTTGTTAAGGGAGCTGTTTGGGCCGTAAGGCTCAATAGCCTATAGCCACTTCGTGCATAGTTGAAGATGCACTGTCCTTATAGTCAGCGCGCTGGACTCTGGGTCGAGAGGTCTGGGTCCGAGCTCTAGCTCGGTTATTGTGTTATATTATCAGGCAATTCACTTAACTGAGTTGTAGAAACTAGACGATTGTTGTTTGTGTTACAACATTCGCACTAAGCTGTCCTGTAGAACCAATTAAACCTGTGAACATCAATGTTATTCTGGTATCTCTCCTAGCCAACAGTTCCGCTCCTTTGATGCAGTTAAATTTGGCACTGGCCTGGAACCGGATTGACGTCGCTAAAAGTGAGATCTTCACTGATGACAAACGTTGGACGGTAACTTTTATGTTTTCATATGTAACTTGCCCAATCTTCTCTTGTCTCGCGGACGAATACATGTAAAGCTTGACAACCTTCCAACAAGTTTTGGAAAAGGTGTAACATTCCTTTTTTTTTTTGCGTTTTTCAGGCGAGTGGAGGCATGTGTGAAGCGAGATTGAGGGGCGCGCGAGTTACCCGCGAGATGAAGGGCGCGAAAAAAGGGCGAAATAACGCGCCATTTCTCTTACGCTCGTCCTTTTGTACGTGACCGCAGCTTTGCACTCGCCTCGCCTCGCCTCGCGCTCGCCTGAATACACGAAAATGCAATGTTTGTTGTGCGCGCTTAGTTGGAATTTTCGCGCTTAGGGGAATTTTCATCTAGTGTTTTGCAATTAAAGCGTTCACGGACTGCACGTATTATAAGACAATAATTGTTATCGTTCTCTTTCTGTAGACGGAGGCACTGACTAATCCTATGTTGGCAGCTTTGCTCGACGATAAGCCAGGATTTGTTGAACTATTCCTACAGAATGGTCTCAGCATGAGAGAATTTCTTACACCGCAGATATTATGTCAGTTGTATGCTGGGGTGAGTTAGTAGAGACTTGTTGATTCCACGAGGAGTTTGACTTCGATCACAATATTTGGAGTTAAGTTTTAAGCGAAACATCATGAAAATATATTTCTTTTTTCTGTAACGTTTTCGAAATTCCTTGCTGATATCGAAAATGCAATATCGTTTAATTTTCAGGTCCCAAGTAACAGCGTCATAAAGCCTCTGGTTCAAAAAGAAATGGTGCGTATGATTTTATATGTATATTTTTAAATTTACTGCTTAAATTTTCACGTTTTGTGCGCTTTTCATCAGTTCCATTTTTACCCGTTTTACGTAACTTCTAGGAAAGCATCTAAAAAACATGCCTCTTTTTGTGGAAATTCCGTTTCAAAAACTCTGTGAGATAGACACTCTGGCTGAATGGCACCTGCAAATTCTTTTTTCTTTTTGCGTCCATCAACATACTATTGACATGTTTTCCCGCGCTTCTCCATCTCGTCCTGTTTTCTTGCGCTTGAGATTGGTCACACGATTTCCCGCGCTGACCGCTGGTTGCATGTTACCCCGCGCATTCCAGAAGTGACGAATTTATTTTTCTGAGGATGCGAAAAAAAAATTAAGCATAATCATTCCTTTTTCTACAGAATAAAAAGAATATTACAGCCTTAAACCTGAGGGTTATTGGTGAAGTGATAGAAGAATTGATGGGCGATTCATATCATAGCCTTTATCTTCGGGATCCACGTTATATGACCTCACTTCCTGAGGAAAGGGGCAAAAGTCGAAAAATCACCCAGCCAGCTATTGTATGTAAGTAACACATCTAAGAACTTAGCGCTCTGTCAATAGTATTGTTATCATCACAAGATTCATAGTCGTCGTTATCATTTTTGTCTGTCATTATGATTTATAGCTTTGTCATTTGTTAGTACCATTTGAGCCAAACCTTAAGAGACGATCCCGGGAGAATTGATGTTTGTAAAATGTATGGGTCAGTTCGCGCGCTCTGATTTATTAAAGAGTATGGTTTGTATTTCAACAAGTCTCCTTTGCAGCTGTCACGCAACGCAAAGGTTTTTATTTATAGTGTTATTCTGCCAATAACTGCGCGACTATGATAAGATACAACTTAATTGTTTACCCTTTTTTTACTTCTAGGCAATCCCCTTCACAGAATCGACCCTCTAAAGACACCGTATCGTGACGTATTTATCTGGGCAGTGCTTAGTAACCGGAAAGAGATGGCCAAGCTCATGTGGAGCATGGGCCGAGAACAGATCGCAACCGCGCTCATGGCAACGCGTCTTCTTAAATCCATGGCGGGAAAGGCGCGTGCTGATGATACCATCACTGACATCAGCCCAGAGCTGCTGGAGGTTGCGAAGTGAGTATCGTTCTCCTTGTATCCGCTGCACATTTAAACAGAGTGACTAAAAACTAATTTCTCTCAACAGTATCACCAACAAATGAAGCACTTGGTTTTTAAACAAATTCTCCTTGTCAGTGCTATACGAAATGTGAAGAAAACAGTGTAGAGAATATGCATACTGATATAAGGTTGTAAACAGTTAAGTAGCCACGTAGTCTTAGGCTGGGGAATTGTATGATACGTGACAAAATATTGTGTGACTGGATAAAAGTTTTCAGACACAGATGGTCGAGATTTTGATAATTCTACCAGCCATTGACAGTCTTTGTAACGACTTCGAATAGGTTCAGTCTCTCTTTTCGGTTATCAACTTTTATTTTTTCAAGCATTTTCGATGTTCTGAGCGCTGCTGTTAACTCTCTTGCAGCGATTTTGAACAACACGCAATCGGCGTACTTCAAGAATGTTACGAAGAGAATGAAAATCTCTCCCAGACACTGCTCGTTAAAGAACTGGATAATTTCGGTAACCTGACAGCACTTGATCTGGCTGTCATGGCTGAAGATCAGAATTTCATTGCACATACGAGCTGCCAAGTGCTACTCACCAGACTCTGGATGGGAGCGATGGCCATGAACACTAAATGGTGGAAGGTAGAAAAACATGACTTCTCGGGGGAGGGGTGGAATTAGTTAAGACGATTTAAAGTTCCTTAAGCCGCGCGCGTTAACCACGAGGCCTATACCGTGGGTTATTGAGTGAAAGGACCCTAGGTATATGAAATTCAAAACTTGCCCTTCCCCTTATTGTTACCAGGAGTGGCTCGTCTTATTGCTAGTGCATCAGACTCCGGTGCGAGAGGCCTGAGTCCGAACACTGGCTGGGATCTCTTCATACTTGTGTACCTTGTCTACTCCATTAAGCGCTGGACCTGAGAATTTTTTACGAAACAGCACTGGAAACTTATTGTGATATATATCTTTCTCAATTAATTTTTTCTCCATTAGTTTTTGTAACCCTGCGCAATCTTCGTTTACGATGTACCGTTTTGTTCCTCAGATCATTCTTTGCACGTTCTGTCCATTCCTGATTTTTCCCCTGATTTACTTTGTCCCGGATGAGCAGCACGAAAGAGAGGCCGCAGCTCGTCTGTCGCAGAAGGGATTGTACTCTAAAAGTATGAAGAATATAAGGAGACCCAGCATAACAGGAGAAACAGTCGAACTACAAAAGGTTGAAACTGTCAGAAACGGAAATCCTAAGACTAACCTCGACGAAGAATCTAAAGTAGGAGAAGAGGAAGATATAGTGGAGGACATAGTTGAAGAGATAGTGGAACATATTCCAGGTAAAGAACCTTTGAATAGTGATTCTCCCAATCAATCACTCTACGAATCTTCTGATTCTATTGTGAGAATTAAGAACTTCATCAAGTATCTTGTCCATTAAGTCGTTTGTGAAGACTTTTGAAGTCCTTTGAAGATGACGTTCTCTTTCGAAACCGATAAGAATCTTGGACTAAAGCAATTCTATACGTAGATTTTTTTGTGCTAGGCGTGAAACAGATCAGTATCAGTATCTGGGCAACGGCCCACCTACCCCTCCCCTAACCCAACAACAGTCAACTGATAACAAGTTAGGGTTAATGTTGGGTTAGGGGAGGGGTAGGTGGGCCGTTGCCCAGATACTGATATTGATCCCGTGAAACTGATGTAAGCTTTATGAAACAATTAAAATAGTTCTTTAGCCCCTGAAATTATCAGATCAATGTCAGTATCTGAACAACTACACACCTACCCCTCCCCTAACCTCACATTAACCCTTAGTTGTTATCAGTTGATTGTTGCTGGGTTAGGGGAGGGGTAGGTGCGTAGTTGCTCAGAAACTGACATTAATCCAAATTGTCATTGGATAGGATACAATATTTATAGAATAAAATATTTTCTCAACTCATTTAAACACTTTTTTTTTTTTACAGAGCTTCAAGAAGATCATTCTATGGAGCATATGATGCGATCCACAGACATGACTTTTTATGATAGAATCACATCCTTCTACTCAGCGCCGTTCACTAAGTTTATGGGAAATTTGGTAAGCTTTTACACATAATACCTTAACGACATATCCCAACTTTGAAAGTTTTTCATCCATTTGATGTCACATTTGCAGGTGTCTTACATAGCATTCATCTTGCTTTATGGTTACGTAATCACGATGTACTTCCCGAAATTTGACTCGTCCAAGACTCTCGGCGGATTAAGTGTGGTGGAATTTGTTCTTTACTTCTGGATCCTCACTATCATAATGGAAGAAATTAGACAGGTGGGTAACACGATGACGTCATAGGATGACATCATGTGATCATGACAAGTATTATGTCACATGGTCAAGGCACATAATAGGTCACATGACAGTCTAGCGTGATGTTTAATCCATGATCACACAGCACCGAAATATTACGTGTGAAAATTAAATGGCCGAGTGTTTAGTTTGGTGTACTCTGGAATGATAGGTCGATGTTTTGTTGTATCCTAAGATATTCTAAGGAATTAACCTTTTCTATCGCAATACCTCTCTCTGCTCAGGAGTGTAAACTGACAGGGAAACTTAAATAATTTACGGTTGGTCTACTTGTGGCTCACTACTTTCCGAGATAAAACTTGACGAATGTTTAGTTGCGCTACCTGTAGCTCACAACGGCCCGAATTAGTCTTGATTTCAAAGTTGAAGGGCGCAAAAGATGCCGACTTTCACCTTAGAAAAGTTTCTCTCCGTAATTTACTAATTTTTAATCTTTATCTGATGATTTTGTTTCTGTTCTTTTCTTTTAATCAGCTGGCGGCTCAACAACCGAAGACCTTTGGTGACAAACTTAGTGTTTACTTCAGTGACACGTGGAATCTCGTGGACACATTTGCACTCCTGGCTTTTGTGGTTGCAGCATGTCTGCGCTTTTTTGATTCAACCTATGAAGCTGCCCGGATCATATTTTCACTGAATATAATAGTGTTTATCGTGCGTTCCCTTCAGATCGTTTCTGTCAACAGACAGCTCGGTCCCAAACTTGTCATGATTAGAAAAATGGTAAGATTGTGTGACGTAATGGTATAATTACCTGACTTTTTCTGTTTCCGTGGAGATGGGGTACGCGTGGTTTGTTTGGTCAATTTAGTGGGCCGTATTTCACTGTATGGCCCGCTAAATTCAAAAGTTTCTTTGCTATGAAATCTTTCCCCTCTACTTGAACCCAGAGTCCAGAGATATAAGTAACGAACCCTCTTTTTTTTTGCTCTTACTATAAATCCGAGCGGAAAAAACGCGGTGCGTAACTTAGAGTACAAATCTCGAGCTCGGTTAGTAAGAGGTATGTAACTTGACCATTCGAAAATTATCTTCAATTGTGTAATAAACCGCGTTATGTACAAAAAAGATACCCTTAGTTAAGGTCCTTAAAAGCCCCTTTAATTTATTCACGTTTGACTCTTAGTTAATGCTTCGTGTTATTGCAACGTTAGCAATTTCTAAATACCTCTTTTTTTCTTGTTTTTATTTGTTGTCATAGCTTGAGGATCTGAAGCAGTTTGTAATCATTTTGGCCATATTTATTATCGCTTATGGAATCGCACTGCAAGCGGTGTCATTCCCAGGCCCCGGACAGTTCGCCAAGACCTGGGATCAGGTGATCCGTGGAATACTGGACCTACCTTACTGGCAGATGTACGGAGAACTCTTTCTCGAAGAAATTTCAGGTAGCTGGATCAACCATCTTACTCTTCTGTGATTAAAATGTAACTTTTCCTTTACGATATTGATATAATATTTAGCAAACAGATTATAAGAATAGATTACTACACCAGCCTGCTCGCAGGCTTGCTGTGATTGGATGAAACTTTGTGAGAAGTAACAAAGGGCAAGTATGACTCTGCCTTAGTAACATCACGTAAAGCTTCAACCTTTTGTTGTTGTTTTTTTTGTGTTTTCAGGTCAAAAGCCCTCAGAGTATTTTGAGGTTCATCCTACTGCTAAATGGCTGTCGCCGGCGCTCTTAGCTGGCTACATGTTGTTTACAAATGTTCTTTTACTTAATCTTCTCATCGCCATTTTCAGGTAATTTAGATTCTTAACCTGTTTTTTCACTATTTTAGAGCCTCAGGTTGGTTTTTCTTCTGGTGAAAATTTGGGAAAAACAAAAACTCTAATTTCCCGTAACTTTGGTCGGTGTTTTGTCTTGCTGCGTGTGTTTGAGTTACCACATTTAGCTTCGGATTGTTTTATTTTAGATCGCTTTTTACGACCTGAGCTATTCTGTGTCGAGATTCCCTTTCGTGAAGAGAGAGCGAAGTAAAGCAATCTAGGATTACTTTCGAAACTCAATTGAAACTTGCTCAAGGGAATATCTGTTTTGGCTTTTTCTTAGTTACACTTTCGAGAGAGTGCAAGAAGACTCGGACAAGGTATGGAAGTTTCAGCGATATGAACTGATCGCTGAATATCACGGAAGACCGCTGTTCTTTCCTCCTTTGATCTTCATCTCTCACGTCCTGATCTCCATCCGATGGATATGGCGGCTATGCCGCTGTGGAAATCCTCCCTCGGTCAGCTCTATGAGTACGTATTTACCGATAGGTTTGATATTTGGGACCAGTCATTATGTCAGTATGTATTGCCGGGGGGGGGGGGGGGGGAGTCGCTAACTGAGTGTAAAGGGGGACTTTAACGAATTTATTGCCAGGAGGGATCACTCGAATACTACGGAGCGTTAGGGTGGAATCAGGTAACTTTTTTTAAGACGCAACCAAAGCTCCTCCTGGAGATTGTAAAATTCAACAGTATCTATGTGTAGTAACGTTGTTTACAGTAATCAAATTGAAAAAAATGCATTTAACCCTTTACATTCTAACATCAGTATGCATATTCTCCATACTGTTCTCACTACATTTCTTAAGGTGCTGACAAGGAGAATTGGTCAACAATCAAGGGCGTCTTTCGTTGGGGATCATTTCCTTTATTCTCGTGACCTTAATCTGTGATTTTGGACCTCTGTGATATTGTGAGGAGAAATTAGATGCTAGTCACACCTCGGGGTTAAAGGGTCAAAGGGTTTAGAGACGCCGAGGGTCCATGCGCTTCTATGGTAGAAACAATGGTATAAACAATTTTACCTTCATTTTTATTTGAAGAAATTAAATTGACTGATTACGAGAAGGAGCAACTTGAGAACTGGGAGTTTCAGGGAGCAGAGTACTTCCTTCACACGAAACGAACAGAGGAGAAGAACACATTGGAAAAAAGAGTCTGTACCCTCGGAGACAGGTTTGTGGTGTGGTGTTGTGTTATGAACATAGCAATTCTCATAAAGATTTCAATTCACTCCTTCTTACCTTTGTTTCCTCTAACAGGGTAAACGACGCCACTGTTAAGCTTGACCGTATAATGGAATGTGTGATGGACACTAGTGCCGTGGACTCAGAGAGCGCCCCCGGAGTAGCTCAGCCGAATATAGATTTTAGACCGCCGACGCGTGACACTGGTGCTTTGGAGCGGAGACTGGCGCGAATGGAGGACAACGTGGCGTCGATATTAGAAACGATGAAGTCGTTGGTGGATTTAGCTCATAGTCAAAAGGTATTTTATCCATACCGTTCTCTGTATATTCCCCACAGTAATGAAAAGGAAGGGGTTTTTTAGCAATTAACAGTTTCTTCAGTTGGCGATCATTTCCTTTATTCTCACGGAACTAATGTTTAATTCTGATTCATAATTCTAAAACTGTGCTTAATTGAAGGAATGCTCACAACATTTTTCATTGTTGTAGGTTCAAACTTCCTCCATGCCGTCGTCAGGTGAGTGGATGTAATTTTGTTAAATGTTAGTAATTAATCCACCTTACCGTAATTAGACTTCATTAGCATTTTGCTGCAAATTCCTTGTTTTTATTGGCCCAATAGGAAGAGACTAAAACAGAAGTAGGGTTTTCGGTTTTATTACTTGTCGAAGTCCACGAGAAACCTTTTATAATGTTGTAGAATATTTACCTCTTGCGACCATAAAAGGTTCTCATAATCAAACTAGATAATTTTGATCGTTCTCATTTTAGAAACTGCGCCCGCCAACATTCTTGATCTCCGTCCAGTAGCTCCAGCGTTCATCCATCACAAGGCACGCGCAACGCCCTACCCGCAATCCACTGTGAAGAGATTTCAGGTTCCGGATGATAACGTGCCGTGGGAAGTGAGTGACTCTTTTTCTTTTTTTTTTGCCTAAGTTAATGTTTTTCGTCCTTGCGTTGTCCTGCACCGAACGCGTTTCGTTTAAGTCTTTCCACTGTCCGTAAGGGCTGTTGAAGCACAAGTTTCATTGCTCTTGCTTCCAATTGCATCTTCCCGCTTTTTTTTTTTTCGTAGTTAACGTGTGGCCGCTTGTAGCCCATGCTATTTTCTCTGTTACGTTTTCCCGCGCTTTTCGCTGGTGACGCGCGTTCCTCTGCTTGAAGCCGATTGTTTCCGCGCTTGCATTTTCCCGCGTGTTTCGCCTGTTCTGTAGGTCGACTGTTCTACTTCTTCGGCCTGAAGTTCGTTTTTTTCATATTCTATTTTGTCGTATTTACCGCTGATACATAACTCTTTTCGAAGGTGGACTTACCAGATTACAGTCCCGTAAATTATACCGCCCCTATTGTTCTGAAGAAACCTCCATGGGCTGACTACGACTTAATGAGCATGTAAGTTGCTTTATGGCATCATATAACACGCGTTGTGATTGGTCAACGTGATATTTTAGGAAAGAAAGACAACCACACATCTATGGTTTGAATTATTATATAATCCATTCGTCATCTAAGAGCCATTCTTCATCAAAAACAGCAAATATTACCTGATATAAAGGTTGCGTCGTTGGGTGCCAGGCGTTTGGTCACACCCACCCTATGAGTTTATGTAGTGTTGTGTTTTATATGTTACCATAGTTACTCACCTTAGTTATTCATGTTGTTCATTTTAGGCATCCTTCAGCTCGTCCAGCGCTGGCCTACAACAGGCTCGACGATGAATATAAAGTAAACCGTGCTAGTCATATGGGACCGTACCGAGTGAAAGACGGACTACCGCTGTATGTATATATGCGAAAGAATTTTTATGTTGTGAGACTATTCACAATTAACTGGTTGCTGGGTGACCTGTGACATCACTGCACGACACCTTTTAGCGTGATTTATTATTCAGCAGTCTCGCTAATGGGTTATAGAATTTTTGGACAATTTAACTATGTGAAAACCTTTTAGTTTGTATGGTAGCATAGTTAGAGCTAAGACATTCATTCTGGAAAAAATCAGTTTCACTTTTACGTGCAATCCAATTTTGCAAGTCAGAGCGGAACGAAATTCAGGTTCTGTCGTACCGGTATCTTCTAACCGGAAACTAATCCACTAAGCGAAGCAAAACCATGAAACCTACCTTTATCTTGTTTAAAAAAGATGGTAAATCGGTACTTCTTTTTTCCTCTCACCAGTAATCCCATGGGCCGCACGGGCGTCGTAGGAAGAGGACTCCTGGGACGATTCGGTCCCAACCACGCCGCTGATCCCATTGTTACACGGTAATGAAAAGACCACAGTCTTGTGAATATCTTTAATTTTAATGGAAACTGCATCTTGCTATGTTGCGATGTAAAGAGGGGCCACACTGTTAGGCAGCCGACCATGCCCTCGTCACTAGTTACACTTCCTACGTTTGGTACCGCGTGCATGACTTTTACCAGGACACCTGTCATGTGTAGACAGTAGTGTCTCCCGTCCTTATACTCTTGTTTTACCCTTGATCCCTATTATCTTACAGGTTTGTTCTCTTACCGCAGCAGAAAGAAGCTTGTATTGTTACTTCACTTTTTCCTTGTGGGTTAAGCTTTACCAATGTATTTTGTTGTGTGATATTTATCAGGTGGAAGAGAACCAGCGGCGGTGTTATGTTAGACGGAGGGAAAAAAGTTCTTGAGTTTGTTGCTATTCAAAGAAGGGACAATAGTCAGTGGGCCATACCAGGGGTAAGTTTCTCAATTAGGGTTTAGCAGTCGCTGTTTGTACATTTGTTGACATTCATTTTCTATCAATAGTCGCACTTGTCAATAAACCTTCCCTCTCTCGGTTTGTTCACCTTGTTTGTTATTTCATTTGTGTGTGCGCGCGTTTATTCGTTCGTTCACTTGCTTGTTCGCTCGCTTATTTTTCTTTGTTTATTTCTCAATTTCTCTTTCGTTTGGCCAATCGTATTCTCGCGTGTTCGCTCGTTCCTCCCTTTCATTAGTTGTGTGGTTGTTTTGTTCATTCGTTTGCTTGTTGGTTCGTTGACGCGATCTTTCATGTATTCATTCATTTTCTACCTTTTCAGGGTATGGTCGAACCGGGGCAAGTTGTAACTCAGGTTCTTAAGGCGGAGTTTGGAGAAGAGGCAATGGCAAAGCTCAGTGTCACAGACGCAGAAAGAGAGAAAATCAGCCGGCAAATCGACAGACTCTTTCACAACGGAGTTGAGGTGACTCGATTAATTTATTTGCCCTTTTCTATGAAGGAAAGATACGCTCCAGGCCGTAGCAATAACTATTATTTTCGTGATTTTCCAGGTGTACAAAGGTTACGTTGATGATCCCAGAAACACAGACAACGCTTGGATGGAAACAGTGGCCGTCAATTTCCACGACGACACCGGAGAAATATTCAGTGAATTCAAGCTACAAGTGAGTTGTTTTTGTATTGGAACGCCAGGAAGATGAGAAGGGAGGAGTGAGGAAAGGCTCTACAAACCTTTGCTAATTTGTAAACCAACTACAACCTTTTTTGGGCGAAAAGTTTTCCTTTTCATATACCTATTACCACACACTTATTGTCTTGATACATGAACGCTCGCTTACCGGTCGCGTCAAACCCCCCCCCCCCCCCTCCCCTCCTCCTCCTCCTCAGTCTCTCAACGAAACCCCTTTTTTAACCTTTTGAAAATTCTTCGATTCACATTCACAGGCCGGAGACGACGCGGCCGCAGTGCGGTGGCAGAGAGTCAGTGGCAATATTCCTCTTTTTGCAAGTCACGTGTCTATACTGGAAAAAGTCGCCAAAATTAGAAACGCAGCATTTTAAAATCAAACACCAAAGGGAAAAAAATGGAATATTTTCAAGAGGGGGTTTCCTTTCACAGTGTGGGTGAAAGAGGTTATTTATTTTTCACGTCATGTGAATAGTATTTGAACCTGTATAGTATTGATGGTAGTTTCATACTGCTTAGAAGACATTTCTAAATCTTTTTAGATGTAAAGCAGTGTAGTTCGTGATCAAAGATAAACTGTCCTTGTTACAAAGCTTGTCAGGACACGAAGCTGATTGTATTTATTTTTTTTAATTGAAAAGTGGTTAATTTCCAATACTCTTTTGTTTTTTCATGAATTTCAATAATTGTAGGTTGTTATTTTTGTATGAAATAGATTCACCAAGGAGTGTTGTTGGATAAATTATGAAATTTTTCTTTCCAACAAAGTTTATATTTGAATCATTAACACACATTAATTTTTATTTATTTCTGAGTCTTTTATTCTTCTTTCTTTTAACCAACGTTACTCACTACTCAAGAGATAACTTTTCTCAAAACATACGTGTCTCTAGAACAGAAGGGGGCACAAGTGGTGTGGAGGGGCAGAAAATCTTCCCTACTCAGCCCTCCCTTGGATCTGTCACTGTTAAACTTCTCACTAATTGTTAACATTTTGTAAATAGAATTTCCAACAAAAGTGAACTGAATAAAAACTCAGCTTTAGTCTTTGGAGTGTTTCTGTTCACTCTCACTGAATCTTTGTTATTTCATTTCCTTACGTACCCTGCTAAACAGGCAGGAAATAGGAAGAAAAAAATTGGAGAGAAAAAGTAACTTCAAATCTGGTTCCCAGTCCTTCCATTTTAATAATTTCCTGTGCATGTCAACCATTCAATGGCTGGAGAAATCACAACCTAAAATTAATGTCAGTGAAAAATATTTTGAGAAATGTTGGTAATTCAAAAAAAAATATAAAAGATAAAACAACAGTTTTTGATCAAACTACAAAAACTCTACAGTTTTCTATTGTTTTATAATAACTGAAGTCATTGGAGAAATCACAACCTAAAATTACTGTCAGTGAAAACTATTTTGGGAAAAAGTAGATAAATTAAGGAAAAAAAACCAGACAAAACAACAATTTTTGATCAAACTATAAAAACTACAGTTTTTATTGTTTATAATAGCTGAAGTCATTGGAGAAGTCACAACCTAAAATTAATGTCAGTGAAAATATTCTGGGCAAGGTTAATAAATTAGGAAAAAGAAAACAGCAAAAATAACAATTTTTGATCCAACCACATAAACTCTACAGTTTTTTATAGTTTTATAAATAGCTATAAGTCATCGGTCCCTTTAGACCAAGTTTCCAAGTTTACATCCTGTACAGACATGAAAGATAATGAATAAGATATTTGGATATAAAATGGTTACATCACTATAAGCTATGAACATGCTTAATTTACTGGGAGTTATTTAAGCACCTTAACTGACTTTATAAAGGATTGCCTATATGTAACTTTTTCCAAGAAGATAACCAGATTTGATGCCTGCATAAACTTATCTGATCTTTTCAGATAAAAAAGCATTCTGATGAAACAGATGAAAATGAAACTTCACATTCTTGATGATAACTGTAATGTCACTTGAGTGTCCAAATAACCAAGATCTTTACTAAGTGCTACATCTAAATACATCCAAAAATGGATCTCAGTAAAATATTTCCTTTCTGCTGTGTTCATAATCCCTTTAAAACCTGAATCTAAAAGGTACAAACTCCAATCATTTTGAAGTTTAAGTAATTTCTTTTAGGAAGAGAATTGAAAGTGTTGGGTAAGAAATACAATGTTCTGTACAAGAAGTAATTACTTTCACTAAACACTGATTCTACCTTTCTGAAACATTTGCAATAACTTGACTTCCAGCTGCTCAGTTTAGAGATCCTCCTCAGAGAGTTCAAACATGTCTTGTTCCACAGGCTTCCTAATCCATGAACCAAGGCCTTGGCTTTCAAATCCTTTCATCACAATCATTTTAGCTGCTTGATACTGACCAGCTGCAGCCTTGGCGCCATGGTATGACAATGGCCCTGCAATTGCTGGTCTTAGTTTCTTCCACAGCATGATGAAACGTTTGAATAAACTTTGTTTACAGAGCCTTGACACAGCCTGTCCATCTCCAATCACTCCTTTTGTAGCATTTACAATTTCAAAGCCCTGGTCTCCTTCGCTCCAATTAACACTAATGTTTGGTGACTTCACTGTTGCCCGTGGCTCTGGGGTACTTGTTCCATTCATAAGTGGACGATTCTGTTTGAAGAGAGGAGGCAACCCTTCTAGATCACCTAGACGATGATACATGGCTCTTGACATGTGCTCGTAATGGTACAAGCTACCAAGAACAACTGACTGTAGATATATTGGTTCCAAAAAGTGACTAAGCAGTGCTCCTTGCACCCCAAGTATATTCCAGCGGCAGACTTTGTCTGAACATGACATGGTGCGGAGCCTCTCGCCTTGGAGGACACCATCCCAAGTTTGGATGGTGGTGTCAGCTTTCATTGCAGGAATAGTACCTGATAAGGTAAAATAAAGCAGTTTTCCAACTGGATAAAAAAGTAAGAAATATTTATGTATTTTAACTAGTAACTGAATATTCACCACAAACCATATTTTAGTTAAAAGAAGTCAGAGTATGCTTTGGTTTTTTTTTTTTGCCCAACATCATCCATGTGACATGACATGTGACATTTTTCCATTCGCTGCAAGTTCAGTAAAATTCCATCTCAGGCAAGCTCAAAAACTGCAGTTTTGATTGCAAGAAAAAAGTTCACCAACTACTCTTGTCTGATTTTGTTGCAACACTTCACTTCCTTGACAATACTAACTGTCAATCAATAACTCAAATGTTATCATCACCAGCATGGATAAGGAGGATGAAAAAATGTTTTGGCAATTGTAACAGCAGTTGTGTTTGTGGTCACTTAACCCTTTCACTCCCAAGATCTCATTAGTAATTCTCCTTACTGTCTGTCATACAATTCTTATGATGTTAGTTTGGAGAATTTGGCATTGAATCAACTAGTAATCCTTTTATTGATATTTCTCTTTATTCTCGTCACTTGTCTGTGGATATTGTATTAATGTTCTGTGGAGAAACTCTATCTTAGTCACTCATGGGAGTTAAGGAGTTAATGACTCTCTCCTTGAACTTAACACTCTCAAGATCACAATAACCTAAAGAAAAATTACCTTCTCCATTTTCAAGCTTCACTCGGAGAAGTCCTCTTTTTCTTCTTCCAGGATGCTTGTCAGATTCACCCATGATAGGCTCATGTGGTGAAAAAACACGAGCATCACCACAAGGTGATGTATTGATGTACAAGTGGAATTCAACATTATCTCTCACACCAAATAATCCACTCTTTTTCTTCTCAAATATGGACTCCTCCTCATATCCCTCAGCACACAGCTCAAGCTGTGAGTACAAAAATCGCAAAAAGGATCTTCTAGCAATTATTTCCCCATGGCAATCATTCACTGCTAGTCCCTGGTCACTGATGTACTCTCCACTTATAAACTTGGTTCCAGTTCCAAGGCTAATGACCTCAAATTTTTGTTCACTGTCACCTCGACTTGTCATAACAATGCTAGCCAAAACTTTGCGTCTTATTGGTTCCCCTGCAGTTGGCTGCAGACTCTGAAATTTGGCGAGAACGGCATCAGCGATGAGATCTGCTGCAACCTGCTCCAGTTGAGCTGATGGTGGAGGTTCTAAGTATGCAGGTTGTAGCCTTGCTTCTGATTGGCCAAATGCATAGAAGGTGCGGATGTTGTACAATGCAAAAAGTGCTTTAGATGCAACATTGGCCTTGCCTTTCTTTTTACTGCTACCGTGTCCTGAGAAATCTTGGCCATTGATAGTAACTTTAAATTTGAATTGCTTCGCATTTGGTTCTCCCTCTTCACCGAGAAACTCGTAATTAAGCCCCGGGTGAAATTCATTTAAAAGCGAAACTGGATGCTTTCCGGCTTCAGTTTGCACCTTTAGAGTTTTCGTGACACCCAGGGGAGGAAGTGAAGATTCAATTGAATTCATACTTGCATCCTCCATCGGTTGATCGTTATTACCAAAAGTGTTTAGAAGTGATCCAGTGTTATCGGAAGTAAAGTCTGTGGTAACGTCGCGAGTTCCTGTGATCAGCTGATGGACTGGTGAACGGATCTGAGTAATGAAAGACTTTAAAACGTTCTCGGCTGCATTGTGCTTCGCTTTCTGTTTACTTGAGCCTTGTCCTTCGAAGGTATTTCCATCAACATTCACGGAAACAAAGAACACAGGGCAATGTGTTTGACCGCCTTTAACAGTAATATTATACGTAAGACCAGGCCGTATTTCGTTCAGTTGCATCAAAGGATTTTTCGCCTCCCTTACTCCAAGAGAGTCGCTTTTTCGCTTGGTCGATCGCCTTCTCTTCTTCGCTCGCGGCGGCGACCAAGAGTCCGGTTGGTCTTCTGCTCGCATAGGGTCGTCGCTGTCTTCCCACGGCGGTGTGTGACTACTTTCGTTTCCTGACTGATTGCTCCGTTTTAATACTTGATTACCAGAGACTGGTAAGTCCCCCAATCCAGGAATAACCGCGACTGTTTCGCTTTTCATTGCACCTACTCCAACGTCAAATTCGCCTGACGCTTCCGCCATTTTTGTGTGAGACATGCGGGATCTTTACAACGAGGCTATTCTCGAGTTTCTCGCGCGTGGTACACACGCATAACCAACGTGAATCATGGTAAAGGCTGCTCTGTTTTGTCAATCTAATTACTTTTTTTCGGCCCATGCACATAATCGGAACGAAAAATACCCATGATATCATAGATAATTTCTCCACAGATGAAGAAAATAAGTCTGTTTTCTTTTCATTTTCGAAGCTGGGTAAATGGGTAGTTTTACACAAAGACACTGTTGAAGACTTTGGAAATCGCTGACCACGTGTTTCTCTCTGTTCCTTCAAGTCAAAATGTCGATGGAAGATTTTTTGTTTGGGAGTGATTTGGAGGACAGCGAAGACGAAGGAAAATCAGCAAAAGAAAGCAAAAGAGCAGAGCGAGATGCTGAGTTGAATGAGCTGTTTGGTGATTCACCCAGTGAAGGGGAAGACGAAGGTGAACCAGGCGCCGAGGCGTCTGAATCAGACCATGAAGAGCAAGCGGAGAGCGGCGATGAAAATGCGAAGGAAGGAACAAATATAGCGCAAGGAAAGAACGAGGAAGACGAGGAAGGAGACGATGACGAAAATGATGATGAAAATGAGGTGAGAACTGAAGGATTTATACATGAGAGCTACCAGCTGTTTGCTATAAATACATTGATGTATGACTCCTGCTAAAGTATTATGAATAAACTTACAAGAATTATACCCTGCACAGTGAAACAAAAAAATATTGACAGTTCTGTTCCAAAGAATTTCAGCGGGAGATAGTGACATGCTACATCAAGGCTACGCTTTTGAGACTTGATTTACTCTAATCCTGGATTAAATTCATTCAAAAATATCTGTTACCATATGCATAGCACTTCAGGATTAGTTTTAACCACATCTTGAATCTCTTAGCCCAGTGCATCAGCTTATTATCAGCTTATTAGTGAAGGGTGAGGTATATCGGGTGACTGATTTACCCATTCCTCCATTCCCCCACAACCTCAATTCAATACCCACCAAGGCACCCCAAAGGGGAAGGTAACTGCCCTCTATCTAC